TTATTTCAATAAATGTCATAATAGAACATGAATTTTGGTTATAAAATTTAAAATCCATATAATAAAATAGCTCATACTTTAATTTTATCTCAATCATATTTTCACCTTAAAAATCATCACCAATCACTTACCTCACCCATCATTCCTCTGTCAGACTCAAACATCAAGTCGCATCACTTATTTCTATCACATGTTTAATCATTTATATATTTCCTCCCTAAAAATATCACATCACTCACTTCTATCATTTGTTTAATTATTTAATATTTGATTAATTTGTAGTTAATATAATTTTTATTTCAAACATTATCCATATAAAATAGCATACACATGTTACAAAAAATTAATATAGTAAGATCGATTTTTTGGGCGCTCGAATTTTATATTTTATCGCGTCTTTAGGCACGGGTTATGACTAGTATTTGATATTTTATTTTTGATTGAAACATTTTTGGTCTAAATATAACATTTTAAACTTGAGGGATCTAAATATTATATTTATTATAGAATCTAGTATAATTTACTCATATATACTATAATACTTAGTATTACACGCGTACAAACACTATTTAGCTACGTAAGTGTTACACGACGTTACAAAACCTTAAGAGATTTGTGCGTAATTTTTAAAAATATCATAGAGTCTGAATGATTAAGTGATAAATTTAAGTCTATCTTCAGCGACCCTCCTACCTTTTTTGAATTTCATTGACCTTCCTTGTCAGTGTTGGTTGGCTAACAAACGTGACAAAAACACTTTTTACGATTTTATCATGAATTTTATAAAGATTTACATTTCACCAATTATTTTTCATTAAACTATATATACATACATATTCCTATTTCTTGTAAGTATGGCATGTTTGTTTTTCGAATATATCAGGTATTAGAAAGTGAGATAGAGTAAATAGTACTGAGCCCACTTATCATCTTGTTTGATTAATATTTTATGTGCAGTATTATTTTTCGGGTTATAAATATTGATCCGATTTTGTATAACAATTTTTATCCTTTGTACATGACTTTAATGAATACCACCTACTAGGTGGTATTATTTGCTGGTAGAAATCCACTAATGGTACAAGTAAGGAAATTGACACAAATACTCTCCACTATAGAGTTCACGTATAAAAAGTTTATTTTGAATTTTTTCATATATGTTTAAGTGTATGGTGTCACCGATTTTTTTTTAATTTTTTAAAAAAAATTATTTTGAATTTTTTTTTGTATTATATTTAAGCGTATGATATCATTAATTTTTTAAAAAATTTTTTTTTAAAAAAAATTTATTTTGAATTTTTTTATTGTATTATAATTAAGCGTACAGTGTCACCAATTTTTTTTTTTAATTTTTTTAAAAAAAATTATTTTAAATTTTTTTTCTTGTATTATGTTTAAGCGTACGATGTCACCGGTTTTTTAAAAAATTATTTTAAATTTTTTTCTTGTATTATTTTTAAGCGTACAGTGTCACCGATTTTTATTTTTATTTTAAAAAAATATATATTTTGAATTTTTTCCTTATATTATGTTTAAGCGTACGATGTCGCCGATTTTTTTAAATTTTTTTTTTATATTATGTTTAAGCATACGATGTCATCGTTTTTTTTAAAAAAAAAATTTTTTTAAACAAATTATTTTAAATTTTTCCTTGTATTATGTTTAAGCAAATATTATCACCGATTTTTTTTTAATTTTTTTTACAGTGTCATCGATTCATAGTCATTTTTTTTTTGTTGTTTATGTAGATGTTTTACATTATCCTTTACCCATTCATTCTAGGACCAGTGGCTTGGTTCATTGCCACGTTATTTTTGTAGCTAGGTGATTGGGGTTGTTGAGGCATGAGGGGGGGGGGGGGGGGTTGAGAAGGGTGTCATGGGAAATAAGAAGGGTAAAATTGGTATTTAATAAAAATTTATGTATGACATCAGCACCTTTCTAATGGTCGGTTGGTTACGGAAGAGGTCTAGGCGAAGAGAACATAAACTAGAAGGAAATGTAGTGAAATTTTTAAAAATATAAGGGGTGTCATTGAAGATAGACTTATTTAGAGGGGTGTATATGAAATTTTCCCTTTTTAAATTGATCTTCCAATCAGGGGTAAATTTGTAATTTAGAGTCACAGATAATATCTCTAGACGTTCCTAGGTTTTTCAGAGCTCCATCCAAGCTTCCGAGTCTATACGACTACAATTTCACTCTCGTCTGTGTTTACCAAGTTCCACGGCGTTTTTCCGTCCGAATCTACGCTCTACACTGAATACCCGGCGACATCTCCGTCCTGGTGAGTCTGTTTTCTTCACTCCCTCTCTTATACTCATTATAGGATATATAGGTTTATCCATTTAACTCTGCTAATATATGATTTATTAAGAGTGAAAAGACTTAAAGCATACATATAATTGTTAGAAACTGTAATTAATTAGTGTTATAAGGAATTGGAGCGTTCTTGTGATTATTTTTTGCTGAAAAATCGTGTTCCCCTAGGCTTCGTTCTTGTGATTCTTATTTATGTCTGGTAAGGATGGAAGTTTTATGGGGAAAGTGCAAGAAAATTTTGCGTATTATCCAAATAACCCTCAAGTAAGGTATCTGATATATGTATGTACATGTTTATTGCATCTTATTATATTTTCTATGGAATTGAAAATAACATCTTCTAAGTGAAAGTAACACTTAGATAACTTCAATATATCATAATAAACTTTTTTTAGAAATCACATCAAAATATTCATTTAAAAGATTATTTTTTGAAAGGTGTTGAACTGTTAATGGTTTTGAAAGTTGCTGCAAATATGAATACAAGTGCCATGAACAAAGACAATGGTGAGTTGGGTTTGCATTTAGCCCAGTTTGGAATTATGAAATCCATATAGAGTTTCACATGACAGATGGTGAACTCTTTTACTTCATCAGGCCTAAAAGAAGACAGTGAAACTTTCACTTGGTTGGTACCCACTACCCAATGGCAGGAGCTCCAGCCCAAACCTCTCTGTAAAATGATGAGCTAGACATATTGATATTACCCACTATGAGAAATCTTGATTTATAGGTATTGGTGTCATTCTTTCAACCATTAAGGTCCCTTGAAGGATTTGATTTTGAACTCTGCACCATCTGTGCCTTGCATCTAATTCAAGTTCTGTCTCTTTCTTCTCTCTCCGCTGTTTTCTTGGATTTCTTTGGGATTATCATGCACTAATTTTTCCCGTGGAAGGTGTTTTGGTTTTTGGGTATATAGTACTTCGTCTCATTTTGGTATTTTGTTTGCATACTTCCTGGACTATCTTTGTACCGGTGAAGAGATGTCGTGGAGGTGGAGGGAACTATGGGCAGAATGGGAAGCTTGATCAAACTTCTTTAATATTGCGAGAGATAAAACTTTCCTCGCACAAGTTGTTGGAAATCGAAACCTATGTTTGCATGAAAAAATAGTGGTTACGAGTTTCCTGAGAAATCAGAGTTTCTACCAAAACAAACACCAAAAAAGTTGGATTCTTTTCTCTTTCACTCACTTTCCTTCACTCTCCCATTAACCAAACGGTCCTCTAGGAAGTATAAATGCATGTTTTGTTTTTATGTGGGCTTGAAATGTAACCCAGTGTGGTCATGTTACACAGGGAACTGGGAATGATAGAACTGAATGTAGACATAAGTGTTTGCATTTTGCACGAAGTGACTGCTCTCGCACTAGTTGTTTTCTCACCGGTGATACCCGGAGCACTTTACCATTGTTCCGATCAATAGCCCCTATTTTGGTGTTGGGCTTGCCTCACAAAAATCATAAGAGAAACTTGGTATTTGATAGATACATCAATTATTAATTTTTGGTTCACACGGAAAATTTTTAGATGTTGGAGGCGCATCATGTTGTTTGTATGTGTTGAATTATTGAAGAATTTAACGCATTAGTTTTTTGTTTTTATAGTAATGGTGTATCAAACTTGATGAAGGTCTAGGTACCTAGGCAACAAATATGGCCATTATTCTAATATTGACAAACAATTACATAGGAAGTTTAGTTGTGTTTAATGGTGTGGCACTTTCAAATGGTGAAGACAAATGACATATGCATGATACCATCACTATTTTTAGGTGTTATTAGTCTTTGTTCGTAGAGAGGGAGATCAGAGACGTACCTTTTGTTATTGTGGGTAGTTATATGTTTGCCCAAAATGAAAGTGATTGCTCTGATTATGCCATTTCTCTTGCATTGGAATGACTCAAAACATTCCACAAGTAAAGACTTGAATTAGTGAAAGACTTATAGTGGCCATTACCTAACGTAAAATTTGTTGGCTACCGCCACAAGGTTGTGGGTTTGAATGTGAGGTTACCAACGTCAACGGATATGACTTTCAGCAATAATGACATATGAAAAAAGCACAAATGCTTCGAAGAAAGTGTTTTCTGTGTGACACAGGACACCAGTACTTCTCGGATACCCTTAGAAACATCCGGCATTCTTTTGCCACGTATAAGTAAACATTAAAATTCATTTACCTTCCGGAAACAAAAAAAAAAACAAAAAAAACATTAAAAGTCTTGATTTGGGACATGTGTTCAATTTTCTTTGAGCCACGGTTTTTACACTCTTAAATAAGCACATGGTTATTACTTTGGGCACTCATTGATGTGTAAATGTTAAACCTTGAGAGTTGACAACTAATTACTTTACAGACCTAGACAAATTATATATGTTACTACTGATATATTGTGTTTTATTTGTTTAATAAGTTTCAAATAACATCCATACTGGTATTAATGTTTGAAAAAAAAATTCTGAGTGCAGCAACTTTTCCTTGGATAGTGGAAATCATGGCGTAACTCCAACACTCAACCCATTCTTAGCATGTCCTCACGCTTTACTTGTATGAATGCCTTAATTTGCTCTTGGAACATCACAATTCTCTAGTATAGGAAGTTGTCATTGAGCAGAATGAGCAGATCTGGTCTGCTGAAAGGGAAGGGTGCAAGCCATAGTGAGTTTTCCCAGAATGAGCAAAGAGGAAACTTCTGCTCGTACAAGACCTTTCAGTTTTGATGAGATAATGCGTAGGAGGGAAAGCAAGAAATCATTGGGTGATAATAATGAGGAGCCTGGAGGCGCGGGGAATGTACCAGGAAACGACATTGTCAAGAAGGTCTCTGATCATTCAGAATCTGACAGATGCAGACACAATGATTCTGTACCAAGTGGTACAAAGCATGCTTCAGAGGATTTTCTGAAAGTAAGTTCTAGGAAGGAAGAAGATAACACTTGTATCAAAGAGGGAAAATTAGTTAGAGGTAAAGATAAAGGAAGTCGTGACTCCAAAAGCAAATCAAAGGCTACACCAAAAAAAAGTATCAACGGTCATGAAGGCAAGGGAGGTAAGCTTGGTGGAAGAATTCACGGCAACAGGAAAAATGATGAATTATCAAGCGAGGATGTTGAAAATGAATCTGAAAAAAGACATTCTATATATTTGGCAGACAAGGAGAGATATGCAGATAAAAGGAGAGGAAAATCTGTAAAAGAAAGAAAATATGAACAACAAAATAATGATGAGAGATATGCAGATAAAAGGAGAGGAAAATTTGAAAAAGAAAGAAAATATGAACAACAAAATAATGATGATGATAGACGCATACATGGTAAGAGGAAAAATGATAAGTGGTCAGGTGAAGATTCTGACAAGGAATCTGAGAAGAGACATTCCAGATATTTGGGAGATAAGGACAGATACTCAGACAGAAATAGAGGTAAATCTGAAAAAGAAAGCAAAAGGAAACATTACAATGAAGATGAACATAGAACTGGAGAGAGAGATGCTGGTAAAAAACATAATTCAGGGAACTGGCATAATTCAAAATTTTCTGAGAGAAAGGAGAAGAAAGAAACATCACAGGTTCATCACGAAGAATCGAGGCCAAAAAATATACGGTCAAGAAGCAGAGAGCGTGATAAAGATAGAGGTAGAAGGTCCATTTCACTTTCACCTAGGGCCCACAAACGTACATCTTATGATGTGCGAGAGCATGGAGACCTGTCCTTGCATCCTTCTAAAGATAGGTTGGGAATATCACATTCTGATGTTGATCGGAAGAGGATCTCCAGTAATGGTTCAAGTAGTCACTATCAACGATATGGTGGTTCTGCAAGTAGGCTTGGCGGCTATTCACCGAGGAAGAGAAAAACTGAGGCTGCTGTTAAGACTCCTTCCCCAACCAAACGTTCCCCAGAGAAGAGAACTGTTGGTTGGGATTGCCAACCTACAGGAACAGAAAGGGAAGTTACTGGTTCCGTTCGTTCTAATTTGAAGTCTTCAATTGAAATTGCACCATCCAGCACACTTCAATTGCCCGGTGTGGTTCCTGTCACTTCCATTGCGAAGAATCCTGTTGGCATACTTTTAAATGCTTCATCTTCACAGATGAATGCCTCCATAGATTCCATTCAGCTAACACAAGCAACGCGGCCTATGAGGAGGCTTTATGTAGAAAACTTGCCAGCTTCAGCCTCTGAGAAAGCTGTTATGGAATGCTTTAATAATTTTCTGCTATATTCAGGTGTCAGTCAACCCCATCGAACCCAACCATGTATCAGTTGTATTGTAAGTGTCCAGTCCATTCTGCATCTATTTGCAATTAAAGGAAGTTGGCATGTGTCACAATATTTTAACTGCAGATACACAAGGAAAGGGGTCAAGCTCTTGTGGAGTTTCTTACACCTGAGGATGCTTCTGCTGCTCTTTCTTTTGATGGAAGATATTTCTCTGGATCCATTCTTAAAGTCAGACGCCCCAAAGACTTCATTGAAGTGACTGTAAGAGTGATAGCTATGCTCACTTCTTCTGCTTCCTTACTTATTGTTCATGCTATTTCATTATTGATTCCTTGTTAGTGGTTGATATATTAAGATTTCTGCTGAATATGTAATATTCGTACTTAAAATTTACACACACACACACACACATATGAGCTTCCATCCCTTTGTGTCTCCTTTAACTTTTTTTTGTTAAATTTTGGTGCTTCGATTTCGTCCTAGTATCTTTCTTCATGATTACCATAGCTGCGAATAATGGGAGTTATCAGAGTGTGGATCTTTAAATGTTAGTGGTTTAGTTGGAGATCATATCAGTGTCACAGAAAATTTAAACCTGGAGAAAATTGTCGAACTATTGTTCTATGTTAAATTTGGTTTCTGCGAGGCAAAAGGCTGATGCCCTAATCGACATTTTGAGATTATCTGTGAGATTGAAAACGATGCTGCCCTCTATGGCCAATATTAGGACACCAAAGCATTATATGTTCAGTCTGGATCTGTTTAGGAAGGCCTGTAAGCCTGTTTAGAGGAAATGGATGAATCCACCAAGGCATGTGATGTAGTGTCATTTTATCAGAAATGAGAACCTCATGACCAATTGAGCATGATGTAGACCCATGCTGTTAAGGGGCTGCATTACCGGGGGTCTGAGGTGGACCACCAAAAAAAAGAGGAAGAAGAAAGTAAAGTGTCCAAGGACAGTAACAACTTTGATGGTGCAATCAGTTTTATGAACATCAAGGCAAGGGTAAGAGTTTTTATTAGTTGAAGTCACTTGAGCAGCAGAAAATTGGTGAATTTCTTGTGTGGTCATATTGTAGCTGCTGGTTGTTGGATTTGATTTGGAAGGTCTATAAATTGTGATTCACTGCATATGTATTCTATTTTTGAGGTATTGTGTGTATATGTTTCACTTGTTAATGTGATGTGATATTTGCATAAATAGTGGCCCAGCAATAAATGTGTATATATGAGGTAGTTATGCAAATAATTTAATATGGCTAAGTGATATTGGATGCCTCTAAGAAACCTAAGGTTGTGCCACCTACAATTGATTTCATTATGGATTTGGGTTGTGAAAAACTTCTAGGGTTTGGTTTAATGTATGGAAGAAGGATCCTGGACTTTATGAACAGAAAGGATTGAGATCGCCTTATTGTTTACAAAATTTTGACAAATAGGGTGCTTTAATCCTCTGGACAGCTAAGAATTTTATTGTTTTGGTGCTAATTTGTGGACTAACGGAATGGTAGTGGATTACGGTTGATTTGATCTCAACATGGTGAAGTTTTAGAACTGAAAGTGGAGCTGTGAACAGCAACGCGATAATTGTACCTTTTGCTAGGGTTGAGTCTTTGATTGTGAGAATGGATTTGGAGTTCTAAATCAGGTTTTTTTTGGTATGTGAACAGATGTGTGTAAAAGGAAAGGAAGAAGAAGAATCCAGGAATTCCACCTAGAGTAATTATGTAAGGTTGCATTGAGCACTAGAAAATACTCCACAAGCTTTATGGAAATCCTCAGCTCAGTTTATGTGTCGACCATTAAAATTAGAAGATTGTATAGATTCTCATATGCTGCTGAACTCTCTTAAATTTAGTAACACAATGACCTAAAAATTGGGGAACTGTTAGACTATATGACTCCATGACAATTCTGTAGTACCTTGGACTTGGAATAAAACATGTAACAACATAATTTCACCGAAATTAAGATCCTTTGACCAGGATGATAGTCTATGTGCAAAAACTCGGTAAATGAAAACAGCTTAGTGACTTAAAAATTATCTTCAAATGAGACTTAATATGGGCCCTAAACATGATTACATGAGAATACAATGTGCTCTATGCTGAATTCTGGAATTCTTTTTCCCCCCCCTTTTATAAAGCAATTTCCCTTTTTCTTGTTTGTTTGCTTGGAAATTGTCTTGTATTACATGCTGGATGGCATAGATAGGACCTCCTTTCTTTAAGCTCTTCAGCATGATTGTGAACCTCCAGTTTTGGTAAGTTTTTGGGCCCTTCCTTTCTACATTGATAGTCTACTGCATGCCAAAATAGAAAGCAAAAATTTCATTTAGTATTGAAGGCCTTGTTACAAAATATAGAAGTTTAAGTTGCCTTGTTTGGTAGCTAGAAGGATTGAAGTGATGATGAGGGATTTCTGATGGGAAGGATGTGGAGAAGGAAAGAAGGATCATTTGGTTTCGGGGGGATGTTGTCATTAGGCTAAAAGCTAAAAGCTAAAAGCTAAAAGCTAAAAGTGGGCTTTTGTTGGGGAACTTGGTTAAAGAAATGAGGCCTTGGTTGGTAAATGGCTTTGGAAATTTCCTTTAGAGCAAGGGTCATTGTGACATACAATTATTAGGAGTAAACATGGGATACATGCTAAGAGCATCTCCAACGGTGCTCTCTATTTTAGGGAGGATCTTTTTCTAAAATAGAGAGCATCTTTAATAAAAAGTTATAATATAAAGTAAATTTTTACACATTACTCCAATAAGACTCTCTAGTCTTATCATTTTATGTTTTGTCCTTTTTGGCAATAAATTTGATTTCCATTCAATTTTTCCTCTATTATTTTAAATGAGATATGTTTATCTTAAATGTCTTGGATGAAAAGATAAATAATTTTTTTTTTGTTTCAAAAAAAATAGAGTAGAGAGCGAGCTTTTCTCTCCAAATGTAGAGAATCAAATTGGACTCTTTATTTTAGAGAGTCTAAATTAAGAGTCTATTGTGAAGAAATTTTAATTGTTGACTCTTTATAATAGAGAATTGAGTAGGAATAGATAGCCTATTAGAGATGGAGATGCTCTAAGGAGGTTGAAAAGGGGACATTCCGAAGTCCATGGAAATACATTTCTCAAAGGTCACACCTTGCTTTTGTCGGAGGGTAAGTTTCATGGTGGGAGATGGACAAAGTCGAGGATATTTGGAGGGGAGAGTTTCATTTGCTAATCTTTTTTCTCATTTTTCATATCTCTTGTTATCATGGAAAATGCATTGCATCTTTTGTCACATGTTATTCTTTTCCAGTGTCTTGGGATTTTGGTTTCTGTGGGAATCTTAATTATAGAGAGCATTCAGAATTGTTCGTGGCTTCGATACCTTTTCAAGAATCAGGATATGCCTTACTTAAGCCCCTGACTATGCTACACTTGCTTCTAGAAGGAAGTTCCCTGCCGAAAGCCTAGGTCCTAGTACTACCTCTTAGATACGATGCCGTCAGTCGAACAATCTCTTTCGACTGAACTCCTTAATCAGTAAATCCAGAATTGAGTTCAATACTTTTCCAAGAATCAGAATCTGCCTTAAGCCCCGACTTTGCTACACTTGCTTCTAGAATGAAGTTTCATGCCGAAAGCCTAGGTCCTAGTACTAGTTCTTAGATACGATACCGCCAAAGGAAAGCAGTCTAACAGTCAAGTCACGAAAAAGGTCACACTGCTACTGCCACTTTATGCTTACTATGCCTAGCTCCACGCTAATGAAGTCACTTGGTCCTTACCAGAGTAGAGACAAGGATTCTATTTTATGCCTTTGCAATATTACTTGGTTCAACTCTATTTGTTACCTTTTTTCGTCTATGGAACTCTCTATCTTCTTGGGTAGATTATTGATCGTCTTTCATTTGGACAGTGAGTTGTTTTTATAATAATAAGTTAAGTCAAGAATAATAATGGAATTGGAGGAGCTTGCTAGGATAGCTTGGTAAGCAAGCAAGTAGTTATGTAGGCGCCAACTCCAAGTTCTTTCTTTTCTTTCTTTTTTAGTTTAGTGACAATTCATCAAAAGAATTGTCCAAGATTGCTAGATCGAGCACGCGTCGTGCATAGTCTTAAGTCCAAGAGCAGGTTGTATCCTCGTCAACATTTCTGCTATTGCTTTATCTTCCTCTTTTCAGAGATCTCCTTGTTCTCTTCCCAGATTTGACTCCATATCTTCGCCGCTTTCTTCATAATCTTGTTCCATCCTTTAGGGATGTTGTCTCGTTGTCTAATAGTTTGTTGGATAGAAGAGTTTGGATTGGTGATCCTTCAGGTGTCTTTTCTTGCAAGTCTTATGTTCAATCCCTAATTGATGATGCTTCTCTACCATTATTTCATCTATCTTCCAATATTTGGAATGTTAGTGTTCCTCTAAAGATGCAAGCTTGTGCATGGTTAATCACTTATGAGTTATGATAAGATTAATACTAAAGATGTGTTTCAAAGAAGATCTAAGACTTGTCTTTCACCTCAGTAGTGTGTTATGTGTAGAAGGGGATGGTGAGAGTGTGGATCATCTATTCTTGCTTTTATATCATTATGGAATAAACTGTTTTAGTTAGTTGGTTTTTCTTGGGCAGCTCCCAGATCTATAGTATCTATGATTTGCTTGGACTTTATGGATTTGGGAGGAATTAGAAGAGGGAAGGCTTTTTGGCAATGTGTTCTCTTTGCAACAATTTGGGTTTTATGGATGGAGAGAAGTACGAGATCTTTGAAGATAAATGGGAGGAAGTTGAGGGCTTATGAGATCGGCTTTATTTCTTGGCATCTTTTTGGGCATCAATGACAAAAGACTTTGATTTATTCCTCTATTTAGTATCACGACAAGTTGGACTGCATCATGTGGATTTTAATGTGGCTCCATTTTTCATGCCTTTTATTTTCTATCTTTTTGTTTTACTAATCATTTGGTTGAATGACTTGTCCACTTTTGTTTGGTACTTGTAACACTATTATTATTCCAATTTTAATAAAATTGGTGTTTCTCATTGAAAAAAAAAAGATAAACAAATATAGAAGTTTGAGTGAGACTTATTTGTATTTCCAATAGATACAAGAGCAATGTATTTGGTTAGTGGATTGATTGATTTGTTTGAGTTTAATGCCCTATTGTTGTTTTTTTTTTTTTTTGTTTGCCCTTGGATGGCATATTGGCATCCAATTCTGAGTTGGACTTCTTGTCCGCCTATATTGGTTTTGTAACTTCTTGCTTTTATTATTTAATAAAACTATTGTTTCTTATTGAAAAAAAAAAAAAAATCTGGCTCCATTCCACTCAATTCTCCTCAACCAAGCTTTATCCCTTACTTTGTTATAAATCATTGGTATTATTTGGACCAACCAAACTATTGTTCATGTTCTCTATTTCAACAAGTTTGAATCAATTTTCTTTGTTTTTATTTAAATGCTGTTAATGTTGATTGATTGATTTATGATTTTTAAAATCAACTGCATCATAATAAAGTGACATGATGTTTATATCCTGAGTAATTGGTCATATCGACGACTTGTCCAAAAGTAAATGAAAATTGGTCAATTCATGAATCCATGTCTCTGATTCTCTTGTATTGGCCTGCTGATAAAAAAACTAGTTTATTGGTCTAATGCCAAATCTTTGGCTGATCAAATACAAATAACATGAGGTCCAATATCTTTCCCAAGTGGTTATTCATTTTAGATAATTAAACCAGTTTCATGACCGTTGGACAAAAATAAGATTAGGGTTTGTGGTTTGCTTTACTTGTTTTATACTCATCATTGAAAGACACTTGTCACACAACGTGTGTCTATCTCCTTTTCCCTACAGTATTTTTTCTTTTGGCCTTGTCTTTTGCTGTTAGTTTTAACTTGGAAGAAATGCATATTAGGTTCCATAACATAAACAAATAAATTAATATTTTAGAAGTAATCTTTTTTTTATGTTCTTTGTAATTGTGCAACTTTCTCATCACCTTTTACAATTTTGGGGTTGCCCTTTATGTTTTATATCTATTTGTTTCTTGGGGTCAATTGTACAAACTAGGAAAAATATTCGCATTTTTACGAACTCTATATTATTGGCACTCTAAAATTTGCTTATGACACCCCATCCCTTACTCATGATAGTGTAAAATTTACATTGACCCAGTGTTGTAAAAAACGAGCCTAGATGAGAAGCAAGCGAGGCAACCCAATCGCCTTGAACATGCCAGGTGAAGCGAATGTAGGTGAGGCGAGAGAAAAGCGAACAAAAGCAAAGAAGCGAAAAAAGTGAATAAGTGATCGCTTTAGAGAACTTTTTTATTCTATGTCCTCTGACTCGTCTCCACCTCTTCTAATTCTTCTCCTCTTCTTATGATTTTCTGATTCTGTTGGAACCTCATCCTCTTTTACTCTGATTCTGTTTCTGTTTTTGTTTTTTTTTTGTGTTGCTGTGATGCTAATTCTACTTTCTCCTCTTCTACTCTGTTTCTATTTTTTTTTTGTCTACTTCTTCCTCTTCTACCATGTTTCTGTTGATTCTGCTGTGATTCTGATTATGTTTTTAGTTCTGTTGAAACCTCCCCATCTGCTTCTGTTGTGATTTTCTACTTTGTTATGACTGGGTTTCTGCACTTGTTGCTTAGACTGATTCAGCATTGTTTGTTATTAGACTGCTCTTGTTTGATTCTGTTGTTTTGTTATGCTTAGTTCAATTGCTTCACTCGAAAAGGACTAATTTAGGAGAAAGTCATAATTTTTGTTGCTGCTTTCTATTTGTAACGGAAAGGATTTACTTTGTGATGGTTGAGTACTAATGATCAGATTTTTCATTTGTGATGGTTTAGGTATAAAATATTTGCTTGTTTTTTTATTATTTACTTTGCTTTGATGTAGTGCTCACTTCGCCTCTCGCTACTCGACTAGGTTTTAGAAGACTTGTTCGCTTCGGTTCTCTTCACACATTAAATAACACTGGATTGACTTTAGCTTGTTGACCCTTTAACCATGAGCATTTGGGTATGAGAGCCTTGGTGGGCTAATTGAGTATTACAACAAAAATTTTGATGTATTCTTTCATTTGTGGCACCTTAAAGAGATGTTAGAGGCTAGTGTGGCCATATATTTTTATGCCAGCTGATGGAATTTTGATTTATTTTCTTGTAAAAGATTTATCTCATAATACAAAGTGCTTTCCTCCTTTTGCCAACTTTTGCACTGGATGGGAATTGCTGTTGAGTCAATTACCTTATGGGGTGATTGATTTCTAGCAATTATGCTCTGTGTACTCGGTATTCACGAGATGTAGGACTTAAGTCCGTTGTTGTCCATTTAGGGTGAGTGTTACCAAAGATGTCACTGCAATTCATGTTATTTTTAATATAGTTTGTGTTGTTTAGTCATTAGTGTTTGTTAAATGCATTCTAGTTTTCGGTGGGGGTGAATGTGTTGCAATGTACTCATTTACGTGTACAAAATATGTTATAGTTGGTTCAGGTGTTTTTAGTTATTGTATGCAATTTAGTTTGCATTCTGTGTGTGTGAAAGAGCTTCTGTGCAAGTGAAAGGGCTTCTGTGTAACGCATTTTCTTTGTTCAATAGGGGTCTAGACTGATTCAGTCACCCCTTTAAGTTTTCAAATTACTTTTTGGATGCATTGTATTTACGCTGTAGAGTGTATGATCTGCATGCCAGCTCTGAAAGCAGTTTTCATCAACCATCTCAAGTTTTGCCACACTTTTTAAGCCTGGCGGCACAAAGGATTTCTGATGCGGGATCTCAACTTCCAATACAATCATGATATCTGAATAGGTTATCAGAAGGGAATAGTCTTTTGGATTTCAGGGACAAGGTTAGGGAACAAATTGGGTTGGTTGGGGCTGAGAGTGAAGTGGAAGAGGATGTCTATTTGAGTATTTCAGTGACTATTCCAGCAGTGTAAACTGTACCAGTGAACATTAGTCTACTTTTGGTGAGTTGTGTTTTGAGCTTGAAAGGAGAGACTTGCAGGTCTCATTGCTGGTTTAGAGAGCTGAGATTAAGAGATAGAGGAGGAGGGAGTGGTAACCCTAGGAGTCATACTTGATTCTTAGGACTCATATCTAAGATATAATGCCTCACACATCATAATATATCTTCTTAAAATAGTTTTTCTTTCCATTCCTAAAACAAAGTCGAGAAGTGTATGGGGTCTTAGGCCTTGGGCTTTGATTTTTGTATCTTGTTTAAATGTTTGGACCTCCTAAAACTTTCAATCTGGCCCAAATTTGTAACTAAGTTCTCAATACAAATGGCCCAATATGGCATCCCATTTTACACCCAACCAGAAGGCTAAAATACCCTTAAAATAAAAAAGAAAAAGCATTTGAACTTCGTGAAATTAATATCATCAGCAAGTTCATATTAGAATTCTGCCAAACAGCAGTGGCTGTTTGATTCAGGTTCCCCTTTCTCTTTTAATGTTTCTTTCCAGCCTCCTGGAATTTCATTAGCATCACTTTTTTGTTTCACTCAGGCACACTTGGGCATAAGATGAAAAACTGTCTCATTGTTGTGATTTAGAGTGGTAGACTATTAATATTAGAACACAACTTGTTTTTAAACGTCTTTTACTGTTGTAGGGGTTTTAGCTCATCGAATGGAACGGAACCTGTAGCTGAGATTAGAATACCACATGAGAACAACATGTTTATCAGTTTCAAAATTCTATTGCTTTCTATATTTCTGCTCTTTTACTGGCTTGAAGTTAGCATCAAGATCATGGTTGAGTTGTTCTAGATGGTTCAGTGAGCTTTTTTTCCATTGAAACAGTACTTTGTGTTACTAAGGTGCAGTTTCTGAGGTATATTGTGGTTACCATTCATGTAGCAGGTTTTCAGACAGTTCCTATTTTCATGCAGAGTGGCGTTCCTGAGAAACACGAGAAATCAGTGCCTCCGGTTGATTTAGTGAGCAACATTGTAAAGGATTCGCCTCACAAGGTATGCATGTGAAACCATAAATTATAATTCTTACGTATCACTTCAAAACTCTCCTGGGATGATGTGTCTGCGTTACAGGAGATAATTTGAGCTTAAATTTTTGTCATCTTTCTTCACGCATTGACTTATTTCCTTGAAGGATTCTTACGTATCACTTCAAAACTCTCCTGGGATGATGTGTCTGCGTTACAGGAGATAATTTGAGCTTAAATTTTTGTCATCTTTCTTCACGCATTGACTTATTTCCTTGTAGCACAGGTTGCTCATCTGTTTATATGAGAATAACTTCCACTGAGATACACCACAGTTGCCTGTGTGTTTCTTTATAGTCTTTTTGATGTTATTTTTAAATGAGTCCCACAATGTGACTTGTGGATAGTGTATTTTTACATGATTTGATTTCTTATCCACCGTCTTTGTACTTTTTTCTGCCATTGAGAAAATTTTCATTTTTTATCCCAGAAAAAATGAAATTGCTCCCATAATTCCTTTACACTGATACTAATAATACTAATAAAGCTGCCTTTGCATTAATGAGTGATATTTATGTTTATATTTCAGAAAACTATCATGTATAATATTTGTTTGATGCTTCTATAGAACCAATTTATTTCCTACGTTTCAGTATTTTCATTCATACCCTGTTTTCTGTTGCTGTGAGATGTAGTACTTCCAAGTCTTTGACATGAAACTTTCTGGTTGTGCTTCTTCATATTGAAATTTACTTCTATTTTCTGTTTACACTTAAAAATCAAAATCCATTCTATAATATCTTGATGGATGGTGACTCTTCTTTACACTCCTGGTTTATATAATCAGCCAGCATTTGAGACTCCAACAAATGGGAAGCAATTGATCTTCTGACTATCAATCTACATGCCCTTAGGCTCTGTTAAGTGAGATCCAAGATAGACAGATAATAGGCTGACCTATGCTATGCATAGGAAGGGGCACATTAGTTATGTCTTTTATGTTGGGAGAATGAGTTTATTGTTTTTGTACATTTGTTCAAGATTGTACCAACACGTATATATTATGGAACCAGCTTTTTTCGGTCTTCCGCAATTTGTCCTATGATCAGTGGAGATGACGTTTTCCTATTTTATGGAGGTGGGGCAGGGTCTGTTTGAAGTTGTGCACAAAGCACTTTCATGTACAAACCTTTGTATTCTGCATTCATATTGGTTGTGTTGCTGGGCCTATTGATAGCTTTGAAATTCATCATGGTATGGCATATCCCCATTTCTTTTCTGCAAATTCTCATACATAGAACTTTTTAGGAATCGAAAGTACGGAGATTGTTTTATCTCATTGCACAAATATATTGCATTTACATTCTTCTTGTTGCGTTTTGTTTGCTGGATAGGTTTTTTGCTCTTTTTTCTTTTTAAAAACTAGTATACTCACTGTTTCTGCAGATTTTCATTGGTGGGATTTCGAATGTTATTTCATCAGAAATGGTAAAATATTTGTTCTTCACAGCATTGCCTGGTATAGTAGCATTCTCTGTTTTGATTCTCATTCGTATATATAGTGATTAAACTCATGCTGGGTTTCAGCTTATGGAGATTGCTAGTGCGTTTGGACGTTTGAAGGCGTATTGCTTTGAAGTTAATGCAGATCATAACATACCATGTGCTTTTCTTGAGGTACCATTAAGTTACTTTGTTGACTTTTGCTAACTGGGAATTTTTTATGATTGACGTAGAAATTCCATCCAATAATGAATACTTGGGCCCTTGAGCATGTCTCCCCTCCACTGTACTTATCATTCAGTTCAATGCTTCCATCAAAAGCCGAGTAGAAACTGAATTGTATCATCAGAAGATTAGAAAATCATGACACATCTTTTGCTTTTTTATTTTTGTTTCTATATTTTTTTCTGTAGTGCAGACACAACCCTGCCACATGATGAGATTTTTCGGTTTCATGCAAAAGCATTATGAGAATCTGAGATGATGCCTCTCTCATTGTCATATTCTGGGCTTTCAACTTATGTGCCCTCAGTATGTTTATCCACCTGAAATTCATCAAGTCCAATGCGTTTTCTTGGCACTTAAAGCAATAAAATTTCAATTAAGCTACTTTGTTATATGCCTGAATTATAAGTAGACATTATTGACAACCTCATCTCTCCTCATAATCCAACAATGCTGGAGAATAATTTTGCCGTCTGGCTTTGGTGCCACATTTTTTTAAGATTGTTCAATGCTCCTCAACTCCTGCTCATAGAATAATCTTTGTAACTGTTCTTTGTCTTCCCTTAAAATGGCTACAAAGTCTAACCTAACCTGCTGCGGCCTTCTTTCACAAGTCTGATAGATGGAATACTGCACTATTTACAATTTTCCTTCTTCCCCCCCCGCTCTCCACCCTATCTATCGCCATTTCTACTTGGTTTAAGGCATTGGCTTAGAAATTTTATCACCCTTCTTGGGTGCCACAAGGCCCTGGACAATTCTCTACAATTGATATCTACCAGTGGAGTCATCTTTCCAAGTTTGCTTGTCACGTCCTCTTCTGACTGATACCACAAATTATGTACAGAGGGCACAAAAGTGTCAATTAGGTGGTTAGTTTAATTGAGGAATAAATTTAAGTTCTCCCCTTATAAACTAAGTTGCTTTCACTATAATGTTATCTCATGAAAAATGCCCAATCTTTATGCGGCCTGGTCAACAAGAAACTGTTGGATCTGAATTTGATTTTTGTTCTTCCCTTTGTGTTGTTCCTTTCTTCATGTTGTTTGGATGTTCTTCACTATTCTATTGACTTTTTCAAATATTCTCTTTTCCTTCTTATCTTGATCTGGTCACTAATTTTTTGTGCTGTTTCAGTACGTTGACCAGTCAGTTACTCCAAAGGTGTGTGCGGGTCTTAATGGTCTGAGGTTGGGAGGACAAGTGCTGACTGTAGTCCAAGCTACTCCGGATGCTTCATCAGTGGTACCTTGTGTCTTCTCTTTACCTTACGTGACTGGATTTGAGGAAAGAGTTCCTCTTATCCATGATTTCTCTTCTTTTTAGAGTTGTTACTTAATTCAATGTGCCACTTATATGCTAGGAAAATATTGGAAACCCACCTTTCCATGGGATCCCTGAGCATGCAAAACCACTTCTCGAGAAGGCCACAAGAGTTCTCAAGCTCAAAAATGTGGTATGATTCTTTGGTTTTATTCTAGTACTCATTTTGGCTGCTATCGTAGCGTTTCCTCCTCCATCATGTTCAAGTACTTTTTCATTGCCCATTTTGATTAAGCATTTTCTCATCTTATAGTTGGATCCCGAGAAGCTTGTCTCACTGTCAGAAACGGAACTGGAAGAAATAGTGGAAGATATAAGGCTAGAGTGTGCCAGGTCTACATAAATAACTGTCCTTTTAAGTTCCCAAACCCTTCACCCTTTACCCTTGCCCCTTCTTTTTGGTTGTGTCTTGAAAGATTGTTTTCTTCCTTCCTACCAATATTGCAGGTTTGGCTCTGTTATGTCTGTTAATCTTGTCAAGGGCAGCAACTATTGTACCACCCCAGAAACGCTTGAGCCCTTTGACTATTCTGGTCCTGCCATGGACGGGCAAGACCTGGAGTGTGATGACAAGAACAAGAAAATAGAAAATTTGGAAGGTTTCAATTGTGACGTCGGCAAAGTTGGAAATTCAGAGTCTTCAATTATTGCCAAAGAACCTGAAGAGGCGTATGAAGCTATGGAAGGTGACCATGCAAGTGATAAACCTGGTGCATCAGGGGCTCCAAGTTCAAACAGAGCTAGAGAACCTGAAGAAGATAATAAAAATGTTGAAGGTAAAAGCAATTATGATGATCAAATTGCAGACAATCTTCTAAAAGATGAAGTGTGTGAACCAACTCCGGTTGATAGGGATGAGGAAGTTGAAGAACCAACCTGCCAGTACAATTCCAGTGCCATTTCTGGAGAATTCCCCAACAAGACGAACACTTTGATGGATCAAGGGGGATGCCATGATGACAAGGTTGCTACTAGTGAAATTTGGGACATTGAGACGCATGTGAAATTATCAGTTAAAGAAGAGTTAAAATTGGAGGAAGATAACGAAAAGTTAGAGGAAGCAGCTTCTAAACTGGATTCTAGTGTGCGAATTGAATTAGATGCTCTTGAGAAAGTTGAAAATAAGGAATATGTTTCTGATTTAGGGGATGTTTTTGAGCCTGGTTGTATCCTAGTGGAGTATAGAAGAGCAGAAGCTTCTTGCATGGCAGCACATTGTTTGCATGGACAACTTTTTGATGACCAGATCGTGACAGTGGCGTATGTTGATCATGATCTTTACAGGGCAAGGTTTCCTAAATGAATTTGTTTCGATGTTACAACTGGTGATATAATTATACTGGGTTCTGATATTGTAGACTTTTTACTGGATGAATATCCCAGATTTTGGAGATTCTCATATTCGTTCCAGCACAAGTCTGGCAGCTAGAAGAGCTGGAACGCCGTTTGAAAGAATCATTATTTCCAGGTTTCAAAGCTTGCTTCCAATTTTGAGCATCATTGTGAGACGAAGTATTTGACCGTTGCTCATTTAGAATTTACAGGATCGTTATAGTTAGGTGACAGCTTCATAGAGAAATCAAACAAATCCCTTCGACTTGGTCTGTATAGGGGGTTGACTCGATGGTATCAGAGATCTGAGTTCTATTTCATTTCATCATGTTTTTAACAGAATGAGGGTGAATGCCTTTGTTGTAGCACTGATAAGAAAATCAATTATTGTACTTGTAATTTCATTAAAAAGGTAGGCTATGTAGTAACTTTGTTGTTGCCTTGGCACCCTTATTTTCGACCTGTTTTAGTCAGTTGTGCTGTTTTTGAAGGAACTGGATTTTTTGTGTTGCTTGGAATTCTTTTTGTGCTCGTGCTCGTGAGTAGTTTGTGAATACTTTTAGTTCGCAAAAAAGATGTCACATGTGCTTATACTGTGTTGTGCTTTTAAGTAGGGGTGGTAAACGGTCCGAGTTATTCGGGATTGGTTCAGATTTGGCTCATTTTAAGCTTGACTTGAGCTTGATTGTTTAGAAAATGAGCCTAGCTGAAACCTAAATGAGTCTTATAAACTTAGTTCGAGTTTGTAAAGTTTACTAGTTAAATTTTGAACTACTCAGACTTGGCTCGTTTTGAGTTTGGCTTAACTTTGTTCGATTTCTCTAAATGAGATGAGTTTGAATCATTTGTGACACTTTCAATCACTATATTTGATGTTTGGTTAATTCTCAATTTTCTGGAAAAATGATAGAAATTTCTTCAAATTCCAAATCAAAATAAATAAAATGCCAGTTGGACGTGGTGCAGCTCACATCGAATTTATACCATATATAAGTTGTGTTTGATCAAAGTTTATTCAATTTCTATTCCGACCCTTTTATAATCATCTATAACTAAGTTTATATCATGTTAATTTCGTAACTGGTATAACTCGTGTTTGGCGAGTTTATGTCGAGTTTGATCACGTTTACGTCAACTTACTTATTTGATCATTCTAATGAGTCCACTCATTTATCACTTAAACTCACTACATCTAAACCCAAACATATTAATTGGGAGTTAGTTTTGTATCAAGTTTATCAGTTGTGTCTAAATTTATCATGTCTAATTTGGGCCTTAAACATCTATCACCACTATAGACAGAGGGGTGGAATTCATTATTCTTACATGATTATTCACAATTGATCAATCAATTACACCGCGGTGAGAAAAGGGTGTAATCGTTGACAATTTTTCCACTCGTGGAATGTCACTATCACCATTTATTTCTTTTCAATTATTCGCGTTCCGCGTTCCGCGTTCCGCGTTCGTTGGCATCTGTGATTCTCACTCTTGTCTCTCTCTCCTGTGACTTACCCGGGACAGTCTCTCAGGCTCAAGTCTACCACATCTCCCTCGTTTCTGCATTGCAAACTCTAGTGAAGCATGGGAAACTTGTGCTCCGTCTCGTTGTCAATCGATAACTTGGTCTCTCAGTGCAGTGATTGCACATCCGCACAAGTCAATTATGTATGTAAACTTGAAGATAGCATTGGTAATTTGAGGACTGCACTGGAAGAGTTGAAGGAATTCAAGAACGACATGAAGAGTAAGATTGACATTGCTGAAGGACCACAAATGAAGCGTCTCAACCAAGTTCAAGGATGGCTTTTAAGGGTGGAAGCCATGGAAATTGAAGTAAATGAACTCATGACAATAGCAAGTAATTGTTGTCCCAAGAATTTCTACTCCAGGCACAAACTGGGGAAGAAAATAGCCAAAAAGCTAGAAGATGTTGCTGCTTTGAAGAGCAAAGGAGTTTTTGAAGTGCTGGTTCAGAGGTTACCTTCAGCTGCGGTAGATCTTAGACCCAGTGACCCAACAGTGGGCACAGACTTGATTTTTGAGAAGATTTGGAGCCACCTAGAAGAAGAACATGTGGGAATTATCGGATTATATGGGTTAGGAGGAGTTGGGAAGACTACCATTTTGACCCAAATTAACAATAAGCTAGCCAACACTACTCATGATTTCGATATTGTGATTTGGGTAGTGGTGTCCCAAACTCCAGATCTGGAATGGATTCAAAATGAGATAGGGAAAAGGATAGGACTTTATGAAGAGAGATGGGTAAACAAAAGGCTAGATGAGAAAGCTATGGATATCTTCGGTGTCTTGAGCAAAAAGAAGTTTGTTTTGTTGTTGGATGATATATGGAAGCGCCTTGATCTGTCAAAAATTGGGATTCCAATTCCAAACAAGGAAAATAAGTGTAAGGTTGCATTCACAACCCGTTCGGAGGAAGTGTGTTGCAGCATGGAAGCTCAGAAAAAGATTGAAATTGAGGGTTTACCATGGGAGAAGGCTTGGCATTTGTTTCGAGAGAAGGTTGGTGAAGAGAACCTTAATTCTGATCCATTCATACTCAAACTAGCTCAACTTGTTGCCAAAGAATGCCGCGGTCTTCCACTTGCACTGATTACTGTAGGTCGAGCCATGGCTTGCAAGAAGACACCCCAAGAATGGGAATATGCAATTCAAGTGCTCAACAGATCTGCTGCAGAATTTCCAGGTATGGAGGATGATGTGTTTCGTCGATTACATTTTAGTTACGAGAGTCTACCAAGCGATACAGTTAGATCTTGTTTCTTATATTGCTCTTTATTCCCTGAAGATTATTGGATTAGTAAAGAAAATTTGATAGACTATTGGATTGGTGAGGGATTTTTAAATGAATGTAATGATAATGAAGAAGGAGCTCGAAACCATGGGTACAACATTATAGGCACTCTTCTTCATGCATGTTTGCTGGAGGAAGCCTCAAGAAATGGGTTAAAAATGCATGATGTGGTTCGTGACATGGCACTGTGGATAGCCTGTGAATATGGGAAGCAGACGTACAAGTTTTTGGCGCCAGCAGGTGCTATGAAGACTGAAGCACCGGAAGTTTCAAAATGGAAGGAAGTAAAGAGGATGTCACTGATAAAGAATAAGATCAAGAAATTAACAGAAACACCAACATGCCCGGAACTCACAACTTTACTACTCAAATATAATCATTTGAAGAAGATCACTAGTGGTTTCTTCGAATTTATGCCTGCTTTGAAAGTTCTAGACCTGTCAGGAAATAAATATTTAGCTGATTTTCCATCGGAAATTTGTAAATTGATTTCATTGCAGTATCTGAATCTATCAGGGACAGACATAAGACAGTTGCCAGTTGATCTCCAGAACTTGGTAAGATTGAGATATTTGAACCTCAAAAATACAAAACGACTCAATCCAATTCCACCCCAATTGCTATCACGATTATCATCCTTGCAAGTGTTGAAGATGTTCAATAGTACTGGTTCTTTTTATTCTCAAGCGATGGGAGATGGTGTGCAAACTGGCGGGAGTGAAACATTCTTTGAGAAATTGGATGATTTGAGATGCTTAACTGATTTGAGTGTGACAATCAATAGTGCCTCTGCTTTCCAAAGACTTTCAAGCTCACACAAGTTGCAGAGCTGTACTCGAGGCTTATACTTCTGGAGCTCAAGTTTTTCTGCCACTTTCAATGTATCAACTCTGGGATATATGAAGCAGTTAGATAGGCTTTGTTTCGAGGAATGTCATGATTTGGAATATTTGGCGATCGATTGGGCATTGGAAGAACTGGAGATACAAACACCCAATAGTCTGCACAACTCTCAAATCAGAAGTCACCAATGCTTCAACAGCCTTTGTTGGGTAGACATAATCAAGTGCCCAAGTTTAAAAAGCCTAACGGTGCTTATTTTGGCTCCAAACCTTTGGAACCTTCACATTCATGGTTGCGATAATCTGGAAGAAGTAATAAGTGGAGGTAAATGGGTGAAAGCAGCAGAGGAGAGGAAAATTCCAAAACCTTTTGCAAAACTGGAACGTTTGTTATTACGAAATCTACCAAAACTTAAGAGCATCTACCCAAGTGCCCTGTCCTTCCCTTGCTTCAAATATCTCCAAGTACGTCTGTGTCCAGAGCTGAACAAGCTTCCTCTCAGCTCTGACAGTGCAAAAGAACGCCAAACTGTCATTTTGGGGCACAGAAATTGGTTTGATAAGTTGGAATGGCAGGATGAAGCCACACGAAATGCTTTTCTTCCCTATGCCACAATTGTGGAATGAGATCTCAGTGGCAGCATAATGGAAGTGATCCAGGTATTGTTTCAACACTGTTGATGCTTCTTGGCTAATTGATTTGGTGTTTAGTCCTTCAACATTGTCAAAACTGTTGATGCTTCTTCATTAGTTGAATTGGTGTTTGATCCTTCAACATTGTTAGTAATGTTTTTTCACTTCCTCAGTTAAAGGTGTATTTTGAACAAGAAGTTTCTATTCTACATGTCTCCGTGTGTGTGAGAGAGAGTGAGAGAGAGAGAGAGAGAGAATCATAACTAAAAGGGAATGATGAAAACTCCATCTCCAACATAAAGTAAAAGAATATAGTGTTTGTAATCGTGACAAGATTCTTTTTGATCAATTGTATACTACTATTGAGCTAGTTCTTTTTTATGAGTGTGTTTTAGTACCCATTGTTTTGCAGGCAGAAGCCCAGTTGAGTGATCATTGACAGCTCAAAAGTCGTATTTGCACAATTGTTTGGAGGTGATGCTTGGAGTCGGACTTGTTGGTCTTCTTGGCCTCTTGCAACTACTAAAATTGCTTATGTCCTCTTGTGCGTATTCATCAAAGAAAACCAGGTTCAAGTGTTTGCAGTATTCAATTCAAGTGTTTTTTTTTTTCTAACAAGTCTGCAGCAGAGGAATTTTAGATGGGGGAATGTGGTGTTTCTGCTTATTAGATATGAATCATACCAAGTCTGGAATAATGAATTTCAAACATCTTGGAGTTTCAACTCAGATCTTCAAAGTGTGAGCAGATTGTGCTGCAATAAGGGTTTCATCAGCTGTGTTATCTCAAAGTAAGAGCCTTGACCAGATGGAATGTTCACAGATTTGAACATATTCATTGAGTATCAACAATTTTTTTGAATTATATATAGAACAACACACACACACACTAGGGCTAGAGCCCCACACACACAGGGTTGACAATTAATTGTGTCATGTCAAAGTTTTGTTGCGTGAAAATTTGTGTAATCATATATTTGATCCATTTATAATCATGTATTTTCGGATTTGTATTGTGTATAAACTAACTTTGCTTATCAAGTTCGTGTTATATGTAGTAGGGTTCATGTCAATCCATTAACAGGTTCACTCGTTTACCATCCGAAACCAGTAACACTAAATCCAAAACTAATAATCCCGTATCATACCGACAAATTTCTGACTTTTAATTATTTATTTCATAAAATTTGGAGCACCTTGAACATCTAATTCCATAATGCCTGTATCCCTTTCTTCTAAGGTAATTGAATCAAATCCTTCTCCTTTCAAACTGTGACTAATGGATTGAGCTTTAAGCATTTGACTATGGGGCTAGACCTTTTAATCTGGACTAATGTGACAAGACACATGAATTAACAAAAGGGGATTTAGCTTCTCATTGCATATTCTTATCTGCCCATAATTTTCTTCTTGGTACAGAAATTCTTTGATGGATGAATGTTTCAAGGCACATTATTATGTCGTTTTCTTTAAGACGATATTTGCCCCTATCAATTCTGAAAATTAGTGCGCACCAAGTTATAGCAAATTTATCTCCAAGATATAATGAAGTCCAGAATCAAAAAAAAATGTTGATTGTGTTATACACACATGCTATCAATCCTGGAATACCTTTGAGTTTTTCTAATTTGCTAAGATATTAGAATTCTGTCTCTGCAGAACACAGATACTAGGAAATGAAAACGAATATAACAGAAAGTATTTCAAGCCTTTTTGGAGAGAGATTGATGAAAAATTGGAGTACCTTGGAATGACTGATTCTTGGTTTATTTATAAACCAATTAATGACTATTCAAGAAGCCATTGAATAGTTATGGTGATTGTTCAAGAAAATCAAACATATATGTTAATTAAAAGACATTTAAAATTTTAAATTAAATGCCTCTAACAATCACTAACAATTACTTTAAGTCTCGTTTTCGCAATTCCAATAGAATTTCTTGTACAATATTGTGTATGTAATTAGTTATTTTAAAAGCCCAAACACTCACCAAAAAAAGGACCTATAAAGATAGCTCCCCCTTCAAACATTGAAATTAGATTAAAAAAGAAAAAAGAAAAAAGGAAACCTTAGGCCGTTTTGGCGGGACATACTAGACCCACTACGTCTTACCCCCAACATATAGCGAGACTATTTCCATGACTTAGACATCTAGGTCACACTATTAGAACAACATTAATACTCGTCCTTTTTAACGTTAAATTATAGAAAGAAATAAAACAAACTAAAATTTATATATATATATCTTTTAAAAGCCTCGATTTTCTGTGTTGTTCACTAAGTTAGACTTACAACAATGTCAAATACTTATCAATCCCAACTATATGTCACCAATTTAAATCCGAGAATCAATCTATTTAGATAAAAATAAAACTACTTATGAGTTGTTTATTCTAGATCGCACTATATAAGCGAAAAACTTGTAAACTAGGTATGAGGCATTTTACCTATCAAACCAAATGTTTGTATAGAAAGAATATTCCTTTAACGTGCCCCAAAGTCGACTAAAAAGATCAAGTGAAAAATCTTTTTTTGGTCTGCCTAGCCATATATATCTCTATATGGGTATTTTAGTGATAAGTTCTACAAAAACTAGACCATTATATTCAACCAAATACCTAGCGACGAACTCTTATACTACTTCATTAAAATATTTCTAAACAAGTCGTTCGATAGCAAGTTTAAAAGTTTTCTTACTGACATGATCAATAATCATTCTGTTAAAGCATTGACTCTGTTTCGAACTATCTTAAATATGTAATTTTTAAGAATTTTATGTTTGTTTGATAAGAAGGATGACAAGTATAAAAGATAAAAGTAGAAGGGATACATTTTCTATCCTTTAAGGTGAAAAGTAGCAATGATACGCTTTTTTTCCTTTATGTTTGGTTAGATGGATGAAAAATAAAAATGATTAATTTTTTTTGTGATGATTAAGATTAAGGTTGACAATCGAGTCGTGTCGTGTCAGATTCGTGTTGAGTCATAAAATTATGAACATTTTATATTTTTTGTTCGTTCGCGGTCAGGTTATTTCAAGTTCGTGTCGAGTTATAATCAAATTCATATTATAAAATTTGTGTTGAGTTCGAGTCGTGTCATCGTGTTGAGTCGAAAATTTTCACTCCTAGTTAAGATGAAAAAATATATTTTTTTTACTTTAAAATTTGTATTTTTATTATTATATATATATATATATATATATATATATATATATATATATATATATATATATTATCATTATATTTTTATATGAAATTAATGTATATATACTATATATAAAAATAAGATACATTTCAACACAAATAATTAACTTTTTATCTACGTTCCTTCCAATTTTTGAGGGATTGATTTTGGTAAGTTAGAAGGAAATTAATCCATCCACTTTTCCATCTTTCCTACTTTCCTTCTTTACCAAATATAATGTTTTATCTATCCCTCCAACTTTTTATCCTTCCATTTTTCATCGTACCAACGGAGCATTGAAGTAAAATAAGTTAATTCTATTTGGCATTAAAGTAACCAGTTTATGTAGCAACTTTTTGGACCCAAAACAATTTATTTATGCTAATTCAAGAAACTGGTTTTATGAACTTTTTTTCGGTTTTTTAAAATTGTCACGGAGTCTCACATAATTTTTTAATTTATTATATTTATAAAATATTATTAGTAATTCATATTTTAGAAAATATTATTCATACTCTATACATAAATATAATTATTTTTTTTATTTTGACACAAACAAAAAAAACAATAACGTTAAAAAAATCACTCAAAACAGACTTTTTAAATTTTTTAAATAATAACCTAAACAATTTGGGGAAAAAAAAAAAAATCTCTCGACTTTTTTACAAATTTTTTCAAGCGGCATCTTTTCACCTAAAAAGAATCAACTCCAAATAGACCCATTGGCGTTGCACTAATCATTATCAGCCAGTAGGCTAACATTTAGAAACCATGAAATAGGTTTTGCTGATTCAGTTTAGGGACTTGCCTCTAAAGATCCTAACAATGAGGCAACTGTCATAAGCATTGAAACCAGTTCTCCTTACACATAAATCTCCAGATAACATATGCAACAGCCCATAGAATTTCATACAGTGACTGAGTGAGTTAATGTTATGAGATTGTCTGTATTTAAGAACACTAGTATAGAAAACATTGACAATGATCAATGCATCAATGTCTCAAAATACTAACAACTCTACAGATATAATGATAGAGATATCGACATGTTTCCCATAATATGACAGAATTAGAAGTATCCAAAATCAGTAGATAGATAGATAAGAAAATAACAGCTAAGAAACAATCTTTAAACCATAAAACACAAGTTACCCATAGCATATCCATGACGATTGACCAGCCAAATCATCTCTATAAGTTCATATGAGTGGCAAGATTAGACTACCATAATGAAAAGATCTAAACCTCAGGGGGTTCAATCCAGATTTTTTCTGGTGCACGCCGAGTTACCCAAGGATAGAATTCAGAACATTTGTGAGATTCATGGGTCTTGAGGGAGTAGAAGAAAGTGTTCTCGTGACCATGATAATAGATCTTGTCTGCTAGAGCTGATGTTTCTTTCTCTGCTGAAATTGAATACGAAGTACAACCAAGCAGTAATGCTTTGTTCCCTAAGCTATCTTGCTCAACCCAAGTCATCAGTGACCAATCAAACCGGAAAATATGAAAAAAGCGCAAAGAAGGATATACCAGCAAAAGGTCCCCATCAGATTCAACCATTCGGATTTCTGATCGTACATCTAAGATTGGCGTCGTATCTGTAAGTAATTTCCATTCTTCGAAAGCAACAGAGTAAGCCCCCAACACTCCACCGCTAAAAACACAATAAAAAGTTCCATTGCTGTAAACTACATCCTCTATTGCCAGCTTGAAACCACAATAAATATGTTTTCTCCATCTTAGATCACCATGATGGCAAGTCTTAATACAAAGCATTTTGTTCTTAGTTTTAGTTTGCACGGCAAAGAAAACACAATCTGGCAAAGTTGGAATTGAGGAGAATGTAGACCTATTGAAGTTGATACCCATATCAGGAAGTTTGATAATCTCCTTTGTAAGAGGATGATATACAAACGCTTTTTCGGATCTCTGTAAAAGTAACCAACCATATTTTGATGCACAAAATGAAGCAGCAAACAAATTCCCGCATCTCTCTTCCTCTATTTTGTGCTCATAGGTGAAAGTTTTGTTAAGAAAAGGACAATGGAATGTACAATTACTCAAGATATCACCATTGTTGTCCCACTCCAAATCATAAGTCATCAGCCAAGGTAGTTTATGTGCAGGTTTGCCATGTTTTGCTAATCGCCAGGGCTTGCAGACACCACGAAAACGAAATTGATCGAAGAGGGAAAGCCGACCTTTGATCTCATTTAAAATATCTATATGGAGATCAGCCCATGGCCTGATTTCCATGTCTCCCTCACGTAAATCACATATATCTCTCTGTTTGTCAGCCATAACAGTTGTCATTGTAGCCCTTTTTTCTCAACACAAGAAGAATTAACACTGAGAAATAAGAAATTACACTAGGAAGAGAAACACCAACACAACTGCTTCTGTGCACCCTTTTCAATCCACCCAAGTTTATCACTGTATGAAACTATCCAAGTCCTTTTTGATCTCAGTTAATACTTAAAGTCACAAACTTTCCAAGAGCCTGCACAATCAACCAGCACTAGCTTACAATTAGCACAAGTTCTTTCCTGTATTGATTTTTGTTAATCTTTCTATGTCATATTCGGTCGATTTTTCACATTCAACCACACACAAGATCACATGAGGAAAAACCCATATCCAAGAAATTCGATCTTTCAAAAAAATTTGTCACCAACAATACAAATTGATGTCTGTGTGTGTGTATAAATACAAAAAAAAAAAAAAAACATAGGGTTTATAATCCAAATCAAGTGGGTATAAACCGTACCTCAACCGTGTGTTACTTCTACTCTTTTCCTTGTTCTTCTCTGCCGATGGCAACCCCTTTCTCTCTCTTCTTCGCCCTTTCTTTCTTCTCCAACATGTCGAGAAGGCACCATAGGTCCACAAAATAGAACTCATGGAGTTTTGGTTCGAGCGAAAAGGACACCAACATTAAAAAAAAAAAAAAAAAAGACCATGTACTCATCATTCCACAGACTATCGTCGTTTCCGATGGGACCCATCTGGGAAATACCACCACAAGAAATCCCAACCTCCGAGTCTCTGACAAAACAAAATCACATGAGTCACAAAAAACAGCGACAACGACGAGGGACTCCGGTCGATGGATTTTCTCATTTGCTGAGAGGAAGTTTTTGGTGATACGGCTCATGATGCCGATGCGAAGGAAGCTGTCTTTGTATTTAGAAGAGCTGTCGAAGACCATGCAAGGAGACGAGGTATCTTTGCATAGGGACTAATCTCGCTTTGCACCCAAAAAAAATATTTTCATTCTTAATTTTTAATCCTCAAATATTAAAAATTTTAATTTATATTTTAAATATTATAAATCGGTAATAATATAAACATAATTTAGATTATCGTTCAATTTTTTATCATCCGGTTAATTGCAAGTACTTCAGTCATTCACACACCAAATCGGACTCAGTTTCTCTCCCCCTTTGCTAGAATCACCCACACAGTACCTCTCGCACACACACGTATACACTCAATTACGGACACAATCACACAAATGCACAAATTTCAACTCAAATCCTCAAAGGGTGTGCAGATTGTGCTGCATTAGGAATTTTTACACTTTATACCCAAAAATTTTTTTGATTCCCACTTTATGCTTTGAAAGATTATTATTTCTGTATTACACCTTTAAATGTTATAAATTAGTTGTAATATGGCTATCAGACTAACGTCCATTTCAAATTTTATTAAAAATTAATGCACATACCTCTTAAAGATATGAATGATGAGTTTATAATTTTATCCAAAAGTAATACATGTGGGTGACAAGTGTATTAATTTTTAACGAAATTTGAAATGAAGGTTACTCCAAAGACCACATTAAAATTAATTTATGACATTTAAAGTAAAATATAAGAAAAATAATTTTTTTAGGTATACAATAAAAATCAAGATATCTTTCAGAATACAAAGCGAAAAAAAGCCCGCTGCATTAAGGGCATCATCAACTATATTATTCCATATTAGGAGCCTTGACCCGATGGAATGTTACACAGATTGCACATTTTCACTAGGTATCACCAAATTTTTTGTACTAGAAATAACATATGTCTGCATAGACTCTATATCCAGAATTAACCATACAACATTTATATTTTTCTTTTCTGTTCTTTATTTATGCAATTTAAAACTAAATTGGCCAGAGAGAAACTAAGAGAAAGGGGTAGGGGAGAGAGAAGAGCGAGGTAGGCGTAGATTGGCAAAATTGTTTGATATTAAGAACTGTGTTGATTAAATTGTTTGACATTAAAAATCGTGCAGAAAAAATGATGTTTTTCAGAGGTAATAAATTTTTAAGAATAAAGTTTGTAAAACGTTGTTTTGCTTTTATAAATGTGCAATTCAAATTGCTAACAATAATATTAGGTAGATTACATAAAGAGCAACACACACACACTTAGAGCTAAAGCCAGGCACACTAGGCTTCAATGAGTTGTGTTGATTTTCTTTATTTATGTATATATATATATTTATTATTTATTGTTTATAAATAGATATAAATATTATAATTATATCTATTATTTTAGAATCAAAAATAGAATTAAGCTACTATTTTACGACTCGAATTGCCGGCATGTTTTCCCACTTGCAACGCTGCAAACGAGCGGGGGGGGGGGGCTCTTTATTTGCTTGCAATGCCGACTGTACGCCTTTACTTAGAAGTAGAAATAGAGGTTGCCGTTTACCACACACTTAATAAATAATCAAAAAGTATGGATGAAGTAAGAAAAAATACATAAGGAGTGAGAAAGAAATACTTGATTACTGGAATCCAAAGTTAGGCCGACTATTTTAGTATATAGCTACACCTAAAAAACGTGTATTCCTACCCCTTCCCTTTTCTATCAATGTTGTTAATTCTTATATACTAATGTACCCTCGTGTATTTGAGTTGCATTGTTCGAAAATTTGTGCCATCGTATTTTTAATCTATTTATAATCATGACACGGTTTCTTATCCACCATGGTACTAAATCCACAACTTTATAAGTTTGATGAGGAGAGGTTGTCCTCAAAGATATTTATCTCATTTCATTACCGCTTGTCGAGATATTGACACAAGTGATTCTTTGCTATTGAGACACTTTCTCTTTGTTCTTTTAAGGGAGCACTCCTTCTCAACTCTAAGATAGCGTTGAGTAACATAATGTTTGTGTTTTTTTTTAATTTTATCTAAAAAAAAAATAATGCATTTGAGATATGTTTTTTTTTATTGCCTCGTTTTGAAAACAAGGTCAAAATATGAAAACATCAACAAAAAAAAAAAACACGCACGCGCCTCATCTCGTTTTAATAAGGTCTTACTTTCGAATCTTGTTAACACAAAAATTTAGAATTTTTGGTTGGAAGTATAAAAGCCTTTTTCCTTTCTTTTCTTCTCTTTCCTCATCTTTCTCTCTCTCTCTCTCTCTTTGATTTCTCTCTTCTGAAACCGAAGCCGAAAGCAATTCAACCTCTCTCTCGTTGATTTCTCTCTTTTGAAACTGAAGCCAAACACGAAGAAATCGAAGACGAAATCAAAGACGAAGATGAAACCCACTTCGTCTCTCTCGCTCATTTTCCTCTTTTTCCTTAATTTTATACCATATATATGTAGATCTATGTATATATATACATATATTTATATAGATCGGTATATATATACATATATAGACATAGATCTACATATATGATGTTATTTTTACATAGACCTACGTGTGTGTGTGTGTGTATTTATTTGTGTTTGTGTGATTTGGGGGAGTGGAGTGGGGTGGGGGGTGGGTTTCGGTGGTTGTGGTGGTGGGTTTCAATGGTGGGGATGGGTTGTGGGTTTCAGTGGTGGGGTTGGGGGTGAATTTCAGTGGTGTGTTTGCGTGGTCAATGGGATTGAGTGGTGAATTTTTGGTATAATGTCAAACATATTTTTTTATTTTTGTTTTCACAATTTTTAAAATATAAATGACTATCAAATATGTTTTATATTTTTAATTTTTATCAAAAAAAAAAAAAACAAAATTTTGTTCGGTTTTTTTTTTATAAGAAAAATATAAAAACAAAAACATTATCGAACGCACTCTCTTGAGTTCTTAAGTTTCTTGGGAGATTTAGAGTATATTATATAAACAAAAAATGCTAGATTTTTTTCTTGCCTTCTCCTGGAAGAGTCTTCTCTCCCATCAGTAATATACGGTAAGCAAGAGCTAATTTAAGCGGTTTCAAAAAAGAAAGCGAAGCTGTTATGGATGTCTTTGATTGAATTGAGACAGATATATAGAAAGTGTGTCGTGTGTGATTCATAAGATTCTATAATAGCACTAGTTCACTTAGCCTACCTCTCTCATATATAGTTCATGTCGTGTGTATAAGCTTTGATTAGAGAGTTCATATCAACTAATTTGTTTAATAGATCTATCGGGTGATTAGGTCCACCAAATTACTACCCAAAACTGGTAAGATTAAACTCAAACCCAACAACAATACCTTTGTTACTTAAATTCCATGTGCTATCATTTACTTCTCTACTTGATACTGACAGAGATGTATCTGTCTCTATCCCTTCTTGTAAGGTAATTGTACCAAATCATTGCACTCTTGGGGATGATCAAAAGTTGTTCTAACACTCTTACGAGTGTTGTTACCAAATCGAATTTATTACATGACTACAAATAAATTTCCTTCTTTTAATTATTTATTTCATTAGTTGAAGGTTTATATAACAACTGGAACTAGAATATTATAGCTGAGGTTGGAATGGTGATTCAAAAAGACGAGATTTATATCTACACGTCTTGACTTCGCGTCCTCTCAATTTTATGATTATCGGGTTTAATAACCATGTGGTTGGCAAGTAATTGTGTGCTTCCAAGATTTAATTACAACAATAAATCCAAGGCACATGTAATTAAGACGTTTTTTCTGTTAAGGTAAAGATTCTAAAGTCTTCTTTTTTGCACTCCTCGTAAATCCAGTAGAATTTCTCATACAATATTATGTAGATAATTGGTTATTTTAAAAGCCCAAATCCTCACCAAAGAGAGCACCCATAGTGAGAGCCCCCCCCCCCCCCCCCCCCCCCCGCCTTCCAAACACTGAAATTTGAAAACAAAAGCAAAAAGAAAATTTTACATGAGGTTCTGTTAATATTTCATGTATTAATATATATATACATATATAAATTAAATTTTTATTTATTTAAAAATTATTTTTCTTATTTTGTGAGATGCAACAATATTGATCAAGTTCTAATATTCAATTGTTGACAATAAATCTTTCTCAATAGATAATATAATTAATTCATTCAATCTTTCTCGGGACATAAATGACCGTAAATAAGATTTTATCAATTTAAATTTTTATGCTAAAACGACTGTTACCAGTATGATTAATAAAATTCTATAAACAATACATGCATTTAGAAAAGAATCAAATCTTTTTATGTGATTTAGTATTTCAATTGAAATGTTAATTTCAATTTTTAAAATTCCGTTTAAAACTTCTAATTCTGAAAGTAGATCTTAATCTAAAGATTTTAATTTTTCACAATTAAATAAAAATTCAAAAATATTTTCATATGTTTAAAATTGTTCAAATCTTTTTTTTTTATTGAAGAAAGAGCTTGATCTACAACATATATAAAACAATCAATTCTAAGATATCCTTATGGTGAGTGTGTTATCACATCATTAATAATTTCAAGTAAATTGTCTTTTTCTATGAATTTTACGTTCTTCATTTCATTTCTATTGTAATATCTTTTGATGAGATCAAAGTACAATTAAATCCATTTTCTCTATATGATTCTTGAAAAGAAATAAATTCTTTTAATTGATCTATAACAATATAAAAGAATATACACATCTTTGATCTCTATATGCCTAGGGCCGACATTATTTCTATATGCCTAGGGCCGACACTATTTCTATATGCCTTGGAAAAGAGAACAAACACTACTAAGCTTGTACGAAAGTCCATGCTAATTTCAACCAGTCATGTACACTCAATCTTAACCATTTTTATGGACACTCAATCCAGAAGCAACTGTTTTCAAAACCTATTCAACCCATTCAATTCCAAGTAGGCTTCATTTCCATTTGGAATGGACTGAAATCTTTGAACCATTTATTATAAGAACAGTCCTGGCTCACTCCACTAACTGGACTGTTTAGTCTTGATTCTAGGAATAATTTAAACCGCTTAAAGTTCCAACTGAAAAGATGAAGTAAAACACCCTTTTCACTCCACTTAGCACTATCCCCTCTAGGGGTATTTTAGTGATTAGTTCTACAGAAACTGGACCAACCATCCTACTCTGTCAAATACCTAGTGACAAACTCTTATGTTCCTTTCATTACATATTTCTAAACAAGTCCTTGGATAACAAGCCTAAAAATTTTCTTATTGACATTATCGACACTGATGATAGTGTATATTGAGTGACGCCATTGATGCTAAGACCTTGATATGGAGCTGAACCAGCTAATGAAACCTAAATTATTGGCTTCCCTCAGCCAAAGCCTCCATAATAGGGTCAGAAAGGCTCCTACCAAAGATAATTTTCTTCCTGGATTTGAGACTAGGCCACATAATGCTACTGACTATGTTTAGGCATTGTCATTGCTATAATAAAATCATCCAGAAGGCTAACACTTTGAAACAAGGAAATAGGTATGGTCGATACTGTTCAGGGACTTTCCTCCAAAGCTCCCAACAAAAGCAGCAATTGTCATAAACATTGCCACCAGTTCGCTTTAGCATCAACCTTACATGAGAAATAACATAAAAAAACTCCACATAAAATATGCAACAAAGCATAAATTTATGCACACACAAATCTACAGATATAATGATGGAAATATCGACATGTTTCCTATAAGTTATAATATGGCAGAACTAGCAGATGAAGATATCAAATAAAGAGACTTATATAGTAAAATGCCAAATCAGTAGATAGATAAGAAAATAACAGTTAAGGAAAAATCTTAATAGTACAAAACAACAAGTTACCCATGCAGGCACACAATGGTTGAATGGTCATATCTTCTCTGTAAATTCACATTTACTCAATACTACTAGACCAGCAAGCATACCCACTACAATGAAAAGATCTAAACCTGAGGTGGTTCAATCCAGATTTTTTCTGTCGCTCGCTGAGTCACCCAAGGATAGAATTCAGAACATTTGTGATGTTTATGGGTCTCGAGGGAATAGAACCAAGTGGTCTTGTCACCATGATAATAGATCCTGTCCGCTAAAGCTGATGTTTCTTTCACTGCTGAAACTGAATACGAAGTACAACCAAGCAGTAATGCTTTGTTCCCTAAGCTATTTTGCTTGACCCAAGCCATCAGTGACCAATCAAACCTGAAAATATGAAAGCTCTCAGAGGGACATACCAACAAAAGGTCCCCATCAGATTCGACCATTTGGATCCTGGATCGAAATGTTATGCCTGTGATTGGCCCCATACCTGTAAGTAATTTCCACTCTTGAAAAGAAACAGAGTATGCCCCCAACACTCCACCGCTAAAAACACAATAAAAAGTTCCATAGCTGTAAACCACATCTTCTATTGCCAGTGAAAGCCCATCATAAGTATCTGTTGTCCATTGTAGATCACCATGATGGCAAATGCTAATACGGATTCTATCGCAACCCTTCGAACTATACAAGACAAAGAAAACACAATCTGGCAAAGTTGGAATTGAGGAGAATGTAGATCTATTGAAGCTGATATCTATATCAGGAAGATTGAGAATCTCCTCCGCATATGGATTATAACAGAACACTTTTTCGGATCTCTGTAAAAGCAACCAACCAAATTTTGATGCACAAACTGAAGCACCAAATAAATCGTCCCAGTTCTCTACCTCCATTTTATGCTCTTTGGTGAAAGGTCGGTCAGGGGGAGGACAATGGAATTTACATTCACTCAAGATATTGCCACTGCTGTCCCACCCCCAACTATGAGTCATCAGCCAGGGTAATTTTTGTGCAGGTTGGACACAATCTGCAAGTCGCCACTTCTTGCAGACACCACGAAAACGAATTCGGTCAAAGAGGTAAAGTCGCCCTGTGATTTCATTTGACACATCTATAGGGAGATCAGACCATGACCTTTCTATTTCTCCCTCATGTCTCCGTTTGTTAGCCATCACAGTTATTATTATAGCCTACACAAGGAAAGAGAAACACCAAAACCAATAATGCTGTGACCCTTTTCAAAACTAACCCTAGTTATCAATGTATGAAACAATTCAAGCAAGTCTTTTTTGGATCTTTTACATCTAAGAATGTCCCGAAACAATCAATTGAACAGCACACATAATTGCATGAAGAAAAAAAAACCCTATCCAAGAAATTCGATCTCTCAAAATTTGTCACCAACAATACGAATTTATGTGTGTGCGCGTCTAAATATACAAAGATATAGGGTTTTAAATCAAAATCAAGTGGGTGTGAATCATACCTCAACAAGTGTGTCATTACTCCTGCTCTTTTCCTTGTTCTTCCCTGACGACGGCTACCTCTCTCTCTCTCTCTCTCTCTCTCCCTCTCTTCGTTCTTTGTGTTAACTCACTTCCTCTCCAACATATTATTTATATAAGGGTAATTTACAAGTTATACCTTCAAAGTATGTACCTTATTTTTTTTTTGGTTCTTGAATTTTCAATTTTAACAATTATATCCTTAAAGTTATAATCTACTTTTTGATTTAGTCATTCCAACCAAATCTATTAGGTTGTTTCAATAAAAGAATGTCACAAAACTTACCCATAACAATATATTTGTCCAACAAAGAATATTTATCTTAGATATATTGATATTTCAGTATATGTCATAGAGTATGTCTTAAATTTTTACTTTGTATCTTTTTTTTCTCAAAATCAAATAAGTTAATAAGGTTTTCTATTCTATATATAAACAATTTTCACCAAAAAAAGATACCCTTTCATCCAAGTCACCAGTTGCTTACAGAAGGTCATTCTGTCATAATAAATTACTAAATTGTGGTGTAAGGTCCAAAGTGAAACTCAATTAAAACTCTACAAATTTGATCATAACAATTAAAACTTCAAATACTAAATAAAAGTTAGGTGCATACTTTAAGGGGATAGATTGTAATTTATCCTTTATATAAAGACACATCCTCCTATGCAAGATAGAAAAGTTGCCCCCGCTCAATTATCAAATATTAATCTTACTATACTTGGCTCCCTCTAATTTCTTATAATTACATCTTATTCTAAATACAAAATAACTTGTGACCTAGATACGAGATCTTTTACTTATCAAACCAAAAGTTTCTATAGAAAGAGTATTCCATTAACGTGCCCCAATGTCAATTTTGGAGCTCAACAAAGTTTTGTGGCTAAGCTAAAGCAATCCACCACTTTGCATGCTCTTATTCTAATCAATTGTAAATGAAATGAATGTACTGCAGATATGAAAGATGAAAGATAACCAAACTAATTATACCAGCAAATAATGGCTTGGTTTTTGTTACACAGTATAATATCTCCAATTTAGTTTGGTCATCACATTTTATCTCCTAAAGACATGAAACTGATAGATTTCATTTATAAGTAGCATAACTGAAACCCTTAGCATGGTACTATGAATTATGTGTTTCTATGGTCAGAACTGGAGCAAAGGGTAAAAGTTTAAAGGGATTATTCAGCTAATTTCGTTTAAGAATATATCTCCCGATCAGCTCAAAATAGCCACAAGAAATACCATGTCAATTATGTGTGCTTTCAACTTGTGTTTTAGTTCTTTATGACATCAGTTTCAGCTGTCCCTAGATAACACCATTTCATAGTTACATCAGTGACTATAATGGCTACCATTTGCCTTGGAAACCTACTACGCTATCAAGCTATTTATCACTTACTCATGAATACAGCTAGCAACATATGAATACAAAATTTTCAATATCCATCAAGCACTCCATCTGATACTCTCGTAATATAAACATCATAATAATATTACTCATGAACTTCATAATATAAACACTAGTTACCTAAAGATGTAATCTCGTGAGAACAAAGGCCTGGAAAAGAAAACAATACTAATTATGTACGAAAGGCCATGCTAATTTCTACCAGTCAAACAATCAGTCTTACCATTTTTATGGACATTCAATACACCACCTTGGGAAGATTTATACCAACCGACAAAATATAAGACTGCATGAAGTCCAGAAGCAACCGTTATCAAAACCCATGCAACTCAAAGTAGGTTTCATTTCCATTTGGAATGGACTGTTGACAACAAAGAATTCTTTGACCATTTATTATAAGAACAGTCCTGACCCACTCCACTAAATGGAGTGTTTAGTCTTTTGATTCCAGGGATAATTTTTTCTCCCTAACTTTTTTCACAAACTGCCTAAAGTTCCAACTAAACAGATGAAATGAAATGCCTTTTTCGCTCTAATTAGCCTTATCCCCTCTAGGGGCATTTTAGTGATAGGTTCTATAGAAAATAGACCATCCTACTTGGTCAAATACCTGACGACGAATTCTTATGTTCCTTCATTAAAGTATTTCTAAACAAGTCGTTGGATAACAAGCCTAAAAGTTTTCTTTCTAACATTATCGATAATGGTGATAATAAATATTGAGTGACGCCATTGATGTTAATGATGATACCGACCGTGACCTTGATAAATAGCTGGAACAGCCAATGAAGCATACTTGTTGGCTTCCCTAGGCCAACGCCTCCATTAGTTCAACAATAGCGTCAGAAAGGCTTGCACCAAAGATAATTTTATTCCTCTGATTTGAGATTAGGCCACACACTGTTAATCACTCTGTTTAGGCATTGTCATTGCTCCAATCAATATCAGCCAGTAAGATAACATTTTGAAACCAGGACATAGGTTTTGATGATCCAGTTTAGGGACTTGCCTCTAAAGATCCTAACAATGAGGCAACTGTAATAAGCATTGAAAACAGTTCTCCTTAGACAAAAATCTCCAGATAACATATGCAACAGCCCATAAAATTTCATAGAGTGACTGAGTGAGTTACTATTATAAGATTGTCTGTATTCGAGAACAGTATAGAAAACATTGACAATGATTGATGCATCGATGTCTCAAAATACTGACAAATCTACAGATATAATGATGGAGATATCGACATGTTTCCCATAATATGACAGAATTAGCATATGGAGATATTGAATAAAAATACTCATATAATAGTATGCCAAATCAGTAGATAGATAGATAAGAAAATAACAGCTAAGAAACAATCTTTTAACCATAAAGCACAAGTTGCCATGGCAGGTCCACAATGATTGAATAGCCAAATCTTCTCTATAAATTCATATTTAATCAACATTACCGAACTGACAAGACATACCTGCCATAATGAAAAGATCTAAACCTCAGGGGGTTCAATCCAGAATTTTCTGGAACACGCCGAGTTACCCAATGATAGAATTCAGAACATTTGTGAGATTCACGGGTCTTGAGAGAGTAGAAGAAAGTGTTCTCGTGACTATGATAATAGAAATTGTCCACTAAAGCTGATGTGTTTTTCTCTGCTGAAATTGAATACGAAGTACAACAAAGCAGTAATGCTTTGTTCTGTAAGCTATCTTGCTCGACCCAAGTCATCAGTGACCAATCAAACCGGAAAATATTAAAGCCCACAGAAGGATATACCAGCAAAAGGTTCCCATCAGATTCAACCACTCGGATCTCGGATCGAAATGTTACATTTAAGATTGGCATCATATCTGTAAGTAATTTCAATTCTTGGGAAGCAAGAGAGTAAGCCCCAACACTCCACCAGGAAAAACACAATAAAAAGTTCCATTGTCATAAAGTACATCCTCTATTACCAGCGTAAAACCACGGTAAGTATTGTTCTCCATCTTAGATCACCATGCATCTTAATACAAATTATTTTGTTATTATTTTTAGGTTTCAAGGGCAAAGAAAACACAATCTGGCAAGTTGGAATTGAGAAGAATGTAGACCTATCGAAGTTGATACCCATATCAGGAAGTTTGAGAATCTCCTTTGAAAAAGGATGATATACAAACGCTTTTTTGGATTTCGGTAAAAGTAACCAACCATATTTTGATGCACAAACTGAAGCACCAAATAAATTCTCACAGTTCTCTTCCTCTATTTTGTTCTCATTGGTGGACTTTTTTTAAGAGGAGGACAATGGGATTTAAAGTTACTCAAGATATGGCCATTGTTGTCCCACCTCAAATAATGAGTAATCAGCCAAGGTAGTTAATGTGCAAGTTCTCCACGCTTTGCCAATCGCCAGGTCTTGCAGACGCCACAAAAATGAAATTGGTCGAAGAGGTAAAGTCGACCCTTGATTTCATTTAAAATATCTGTAGGGAGATCAGCCCATGGCCTGATTTCAATGTCTCCCTCAAGTAAATCACATATCTCTCTGTTTGTCAGCTATATCAGTTGTCATTGTAGCCCCTTTTTCTCAACACAACAAGAATTAACACTGAGAAACAAGAATTACACAAGAAAGAGAAACACCAACACCACTGCTTCTGTGCACCCTTTTCAATCCACCCATGTTTATCACTGTATAAAACTATCCAAGTCCTTTTGGATCTCATTTAATACTTGAAGTCACAAACTTTCCAAGAGCCTGCACAATCAACCAGCACTAGCTTACTATTACCACAAGTTCTTTCTCCTATTGGAGAAAATATTGGGTGTAACAATTCTATGAAAAGATAACAAGTGGGCAAGTGGATCTCACATTGGGTAATTATTGCATGACATAGATGGATAGTTATTTAATTATGTGGATCTACTTACTCCCTTGTTATCCCATCATCATCATTTGATGGTCACACCATGTCGGCGTGATGACTTGGTGTACCTGTTACACCCAATATATTTTCCTTGTAGTGATCTTTGTTATCTTTCTTTGTTTTATTCTGTCGATTTTTCACATTCAACCACACACAAGATCACACGAAAAATTCGATCTTTCAAAAAACTTGTCACCAACAATACAAATTGATGTTTGTGTGTGTGTGTGTGTGTGTGTAAATACAAAAAAAAAAAATAGGGTTTGTAATCCAAATCAAGTGGGTATAAACCGTACCTCAACAGTGTGTTGCTTCTACTCTTTTCCTTGTTCTTCCCTGACGATGGCAACCCCTTTCTCTCTCTTCTTAGCCCTTTCTTTCTTCTCCAACATGTCAAAAAGGACACCAACATAAAAAAAAAGACAATTTACTCTTCATTCTACAGACTATCGTCGTTTCCTATGCGACCCATCTGGGAAATACCACCCACAAGAAACCCCAACCTCTGCCAAAACAAAATCACACGCGTCACAAACAACGGCTACTGCGGCGGCGGCGACAACGACGAGGGACTCCGGTCGATGGATTTTCCCATTTGCTGAGCCTGAGAGGGAGTTTTTGGTGATACGGCTCATGTCGGCTATGCAAAGGAAGCTTGTCGAAGATAATGGTGGACGAACTTTTTGGTTTCTGAAGACTGGAGATATATAAGTAGAAGTGTAATAGGAATGGAAGAACACAAGACACATTTGGACAGAGACTAATCTCACTTTATACCCCAAAAAATATATAAATACTTAATGTATACCTTTAAACATTAAAAATTTTAATTTATACCCTTTATATTATGAATAAATAACAATGTGAATCTTACATAATAGTGGAACTTGGCTAAGAGCAACTCCAATCACGCTCAATAAAATAGTTACTCAAAATATATTTAAATATTATATTATATACTATAGTTATCGACTTTTTAAAATTTATTTCAACCATGTTTATTATTTTCGCTAACTATTTCAACTAACTTTTAAAGTAGTGTTTGGATGGCCGGATAAAGGTGGATACACCATGTTGATGGATATTAAGGTGTGAGCTCCGATTATCCTTGCTTTGGATATGCAAAATTGGAATTGGGAGGGATAATTGTTGTCTTTCAATTTATCGGTCATAGTGATCGGAGGCTATAATCCCCTATGGAACGGATAAATGTAACCCATGTAGCATGTGGGATTCAAATCTGGCTGATAGGATTTGATTCGCCATTTTACAGAAATACCATTTAACAGTAATTGATTAGGTTTTTCACTTTTTTGTCTAGCATTTCATTTCACCCAACCACTCTCCCATCTCTCTCTCTGTGATAACGGCGCATGGAGGAGGAAGAAGGTATGCTTTTCTCCCCCCTCACTCCGACTGTCTGTCTCTCTCTCTCTCTCTCTCTCTCTCTCCACGGTGGTGTCTTTCTCGAGCAATGACCAAGGTCTGGATAATATATTGTGATGAATTTAGTGTTGCACAACGCTCATAAAAAAAAAGGTAATAAACATTAGCACATTATTAATAAGTATATATAATAATATATTAAATCAGAATGTTGTTCCATAAAATAAGTACAATTATATTTTATGGACTTATTTTTTTATTATATTATTATTTTCAAGTACCTTCTCATCCTAATCAATTTCTGTACTAAATCGCTACCATTACAAATTATGTTTCAATTGACAGAATGTAGCATGCAAGCACATGATTTAAGAGTATGTGTCGAAATATTCGGTCTACTTTAACTTTGAATGAAAGGGTTTAGGTGTCATTAAAAAAAGTTAATTGTGTTTTGGTGTTGCATCTCATTACTTCTTAAATTTTGTAAGATCTTAAAAAGTTTATACTCATCCATTAGTTTCCTTATAATACGGGAAATCTAAAAAAAATTAAAATTTGTATTAAAACAACATATTTTAAATTGACATAATTTGTGCTACTAATTCATGCAAGCATATTAAAATGTCCTAAAATTCATGGAAAATAAATAGTATTTTGGTCATTAAAATTATTTAATATGATTCGGATAACTTTTCCTATTTATTGAAAAAAAATAATTAAGTTTTATTTTTTAAACACACAACTTCAAATTTTTTAGAAATAAATAAATAACGACTTAGACTTGAATTATATCTAAGTGTATTATTTTTGTGTTAAAAATTAAATTTTTTTTTCATGGTGCATATGATTTTTGAGAGTAAAGGTGTATTGTACAAATTAAATTTAATAAATGAACAAAATATTTAGTGCAATATTTTGTAAAAATGCATATTTTATTGATTCATTTTTTTTTTGTAAATAGTACAATACTAATAGATTGGATTTTTTTTCATTCCATGACAAACATAGTATAGGATTAGATAACATTATTTTACACAATGGTGAAATAGTCATTTTAGTATGTTTTATGTTCACATGTGAATAGGGCCTACAAACCTAATGAAACCTATCCAAAGATAGGATAGGATTTGAATCCGAACATTATAATCCTTCAATCCAGATCACTTTGCATTGAATAAGATTGAGTTCGGATTTAAATCCAATTCTCTTTTGCTGATCCAAACACCACCTAATAATATAATTCAAAAATGTCAACCAAATGTGAAAATTTCGGAATCCAACCAAGTATGATGATATTTAGCATATAAAATTCTACTAAATTTGAAAAAATATAAAAAATGCCCTTTGTTGAAGCACGCATAGAGAGAGAAAGAGATAGAGAGAGATTCATACCGGGTGAAAAAAAGCTCTGGTGAAGACGATAATAAAACTACAGTGACGGCGAGCTCTGATGAAGATGAAGAATAACCCCAAAATTGGCGCAAAGTTCTGATCAATAACAACCCAAAATTGGGGGGGAAGAGAGTTCTGATGAGAGAGTCTTACTAGTCAGAATTGACGAGTGAGAATGGAGAGAGGCAGATTAACGAGTGAAATAGAGAGTCGATTAAAGCCAAAATTTTTAGATTGACTCAGCAAAATAGCTAAAAGATGCCCTTTGTTGAGCCAGTTAGAATTGCTCTAAGAGAGTGACTTATAGACTTAACAAGACCCTGCTAAATACAAACACTCTTTTTTTTTTTTTTTCCCACTAAATACAAATACAATCCATAAATCAGTCCTCTAATTAATAAAATACCAAGATTCATAATAGCAAATGCCCTTTATTTGCAAGAACCGATCCGAGGTCGTTTTTCTTCTCCATTATTTATTCTTATTTTTTTTTAATGGTGAATCAAACTGTACTTGATTGAATTAATATCACTATTTTGATATTGTTACTGCCACTATAGTCGTTGCCCTTTCACGAGATGGGAGGTGGTGACCTTCACTACACTCGCCATTGGGAAGCTCCAGACAGGTATCAACTTGTTCTATTATGATATCATTTTTTTTTTTCTATGATATATTGTGATCATAGAAAAGCAGAAAAACCTAACCATTTTATTTAAATTTGAGTCAATATTAAAAAAAAAAAAAGTTTAATTAATACAAAAAATTCTAGTGGACAAACTCAAATTTAAAGAAGAGAAAATTCAAATTTAAAAGAGAACAAAGTCAAATTTAAACTAGAGTAAAATGTGACGATTGAAAAGTTTTAAAAAGAAAATACGACCATTGAATATCTAAAAGAAGATAAATTATGACAACTGGTAATTTGAGTGAAAGCTTGAGTCTCTCTTAATTTGAGTAAATTTTAATCTCCTTTAATTTGATATGAATTTAAGTATAAGATTAACGGAGATTTTTAAGAATTTTTCTACTCGAATTTAAATTTGAATTTAAGAAAAAAAAAAGGGTTAAATTGCTGTAACATGCTTAATGGGTCGATGGTGGAGAAAGCAATCTGGTTCGATCTCCATTGGGATAGAATTAGAGAAGCAATCAAAGGTTGCCTAACAAGTTGGGACAATGGCAGTTTACACTTTGAAAGACTTAAAAAAATTTAATTTGTATCCTTAATTATCGATTGTCTCAAATTGGGCCTTTAATTAAATTAATTAATAGAAATATGACCCCAAACATAATATCCATTGTGATTTTTATTAAATTGAGAGTTAAGTGAGATGTAATAAGAAGGGTTATAATTTAACAAAAGTCATTACATGTATTTCACGTAACTGTTAATTTAATGAAAATTGTAATCTCCAGTCGTAACATCTATTGCTATTTTTATTGACGTGAGATGCACGTGAAAAGATGAAGCACCATAATCCGACAAAAGTCATCACTTGTATCTAACATGTCGTGGATGATCTGTCTTTGATCAAACAGGTGAGGAGACTAATTGAGTTGTACGTAAGTTGGTTTGAACATCCTTAACCGTTGAACCAAAAAACAAAATGGATGATGATTGAATTAAAATCAAGCATTATTCATTAGAGCTAGAGCCAAGCACATAGGGCTACCTCTGACAAATTCGATGAACAATATACATTATCGTGATTTGTATCTAAAATTATTTAGAAATTGAAAATTTTTACCAATTAAGTTGACAACTCCATATCACTTTTGGACTCTCAATGACAAATTCGATGAACAATATACATTATCGTGATTTGTATCTAAAATTATTTAGAAATTGAAAATTTTTACCAAATAAGTTAACTCCAAATCACTGTTGGACTCGCCAAGTGCTGATCAAAATATTTTTAATTGGATATAAAGTTGTCAACTCATTTGATAAAATTATTTTTTGATAAGTATAATATTACTCGTTCGTGACACTTGGATTGACAAAAGGAGATTTAGGCTCTCATTTGCATCATAGCTCCTACGAGATGTAGCTGAAGGTCCATATAACGATGGTCCACTTGAAGCCGGAGAGGCATAAGTGTTGTTTGATCATGTGGTGTTCTCAAAAGAAAGGGCCTACTTTGACACTTCTAGGACGATTTTCCTAGGATCATGCCATTTTTGAGCCTGAGTTAAAATAAGGTGAATAATGCTCTTTCTCAACAAACTTAGAATTGGAATATCGCAGCAAGGTTGGAATGGTGATCGAACAAGACAAAACTTATATATATACATCCTGAATTTGAATCCCCCCAATTTTACGGATATCGGGTTTAACCACCGTGTGTGATTAGCAAAAAGGACCCATAGTGACAGCTCCCCCTTCAAACACTGAAATTAAAAACAAAAACAAAAAGGAAATCTTAGCCGTTTTGGTGGGCATACCAAACTCACTACATTTGTCACTATGGGATTTTAAAAAAGTCAAATATACATAATTTTACCCCCCGACATGTGACGAACCTATTTCCACGACTTAAAGTCTAGGTCACAATATTAGAACAATGTCAATACTCGTCCTCCGACCAATCATATAAATTGAGCTCACATGGCAAACTTGGATTGGACTCTCATTGAGGGTGGCGAGAATTAACCATGAAAGCACACCAAAATAGACCAACAACAATGTCTAATACTTATCAATTCCAACTAAACGTCACTGGTTTACGTTCGAAAATCAATCTGTTCAAAAAAAGATGAAAACTACAGAGACCAAAAAATAGAAGATAAAACTACTTATTACTTACATAGTCTAGATCGCACTATATAAGCGGGAAACTTGTAAACTAGATACGAAATCTTTTACTTACCAAACCAAAAGTTTCTATAGAAAGAGTATTCCTTTAACGTGCCCCAATGTCAATTTTTGGAACCCAACAAAGTTTTGGAGGCTAAGCTAAAGCAATCCACCACTTAGCACGGTACTATGAATTGTGTGTTTCAATGGTCACAACAGGAGCAAAGGGTACAAGTTTAAAGGGATTATTCGACAAAATTCATTTAAGAATATATATGCTATCAGCTCAAAACAGCCCCAAGAAATACCATGTCAATTATATGTGCTTTCAACTCCTGTTTTAGTTCTTTATGACATCAGTTTCAGGTGTCCCCAGATGACACCATTTCATAGTTACATCAGTGACTATAATGGCTACCATTAGTCTTGGTAACCTACTACGCTATCAAGCTATTTATCACTTACTCATGAATATACAGCTAGCAACATATGAATAAAAAGTTTTCAATATCCATCAAGCACGCCATCTGATACTCTCTGAACTTCATGATATAAACACTTGTTGCATAAAGACGTCTCGTGGGAAAAAGACCTGGAAAAGGGAACACTACTAGGCTTGTACAAAAGTCCATGCTAATTTCAACCAGTCATGTACACTCAATCTTAACCATTTTTATGGACATTCAATACACAACCTTGGGGAGATTTATACCAACTGACAAAATATAAGACTGCACAAAGTCCAGAAGCAACCATTATCAAAACCTATTCAACCCATTCAATTCCAAGTAGGTTTCATTTCCATTTGACACCCTTTTCACTCCACTTAGTCCTATCCCCTCTAGGGGTATTTTAGTGATAGGTTCTGCAGAAGCTGGACCATCCTACTCGGTCAAATACCTAATGACAAACTCTTGTGTTCTTTTCATTACTTATTTCTAAACAAGACTTAGGATACAAGCCTAAAAGTTTTCTTATTGATGTTATCAACACTGATGATAGTGTGTATTGAGTGACGGCATTAATGCTGGATGATGTTGATCATAACCTTGACATGGAGCTGGACCTGCTAACGAAACGTAAATGTTGGCTTCCCTCGGCCAACACCTCCATAATAGGGTCAGAGAGGCTCCCACCAAAGATAATTATCTTCCTGGATTTGAGACTAGACCACATAATGATAATCACCATTTTTAGGCATTGTCATTGCTATAATATTAGAAGTCTAACACTTTGAAACAAAGAAATAGGTTTTGCTGATACTGTTCAGGAACTTTCCTCTAAAAGCAGCAACTGTCATACATTGCCACCAGTTTGCTTCAGCATCAACCTTGCATGAAAAATAACACAAAAAACTCCACATAAAATATGCAACAGAGCATAAATTACATAGTGAGTTAAATAAATAAATATATATAGCAGATGAAGATTACAGACACACAAACCTACAGAAATAATGATGGAGATATCGACGTGTTTCCTACGTACGGCAGAACTAGCAGATGAAGATTACAGATAGACTTATATAGTAGTATGCCAAATCAGTAGATAGATAGATAAGAAAATAACATTTACAGAACAATCTTATTAGTACAAAACAAGAAGTAACCCATTCAGGTACACAATGGTTGAATAGTCATATCTTCTCTATAAATTCACATTTAAGTAATACTACTAAACCAACAAGACATAACCACCACAGTGAAAAAGATCTAAACCTGAGGGGGTTCAATCCAGATTTTTTCAGGCCCACGCCGAGTTACCCAAGGATAGAATTCAGAACATTTGTGACGGCTATGGGTCTTGAGGGAGTAGAAGCAAGTGTTCATGTCACCATGATAATAGATCCTGTCCGCTAAAGCTGATGTTTCTTTCACTGCCGAAACTGAATACGAAGTACAACCGAGAAGTAATGCTTTGTTCCCTAAGCTATTTTCCTTGACCCAAGCCATCAGTGACCAATCATACCTGAAAATATGAAAGCTCTCAGAAGGACATACCAACAAAAGGTCCCCATCAGATTCAACCATTTGGATCCTGGATCGAAATGTTACACCTGTGATTGGCCCCATATCTGTAAGTAATTTCCACTCTTGAGAAGCAACAGAGTATGCCCCCAACACTCCACCACTAAAAACACAATAAAAAGTTCCATTGCTGTAAACTACATCCTCTATTGCCAGCGAAAGCCCATCATAAGTATGTGTTGTCCATTGTAGATCACCATGATGGCAAATGCTAATACGGATTCTGTTGCTACCCTTTGAACTATACAAGGCAAAGAAAACACAATCTGGCAAAGTTGGAATTGAGGAGAATGTAGATCTATTGAAGCTGATATCCATATCAGGAAGTTTGAGAATCTCCTCCGTATATGGATTATAACAAAACACTTTTTCGGATCTCTGTAAAAGCAACCAACCACATTTTGATGCACAAACTGAAGCACCAAATAAATCATCCCAGTTCTCTACCTCCATTTTATGCTCTTTGGTGAAAGTTCGGTCCGGGGGAGGACAATGGAATTTACATTCACTCAAGATATTGCCAATGCTGTCCCACCCCCAACTATGAGTCATCAGCCAAGGTAATTTATGTGCAGGTTGAACACAATCTGCGAGTCGCCACCTCTTACAGACGCCGCGAAAACGAATTTGGTCGAAGAGGTAAAGTCGCCCTATGATTTCATTTGACAAATCTATAGGGAGATCAGACCATGACCCTCTTTCTATCTCTCCTTCTTGTCTCCGTTTGTTAGCCATCACAGTTATCATTATAGCCTACACAAGGAAAGAGAAACACCAAAACCACTGAGGGCGGAGCCAGAATATTTTTCCAATGGGGGGGCAACTTATTACTTATTCATAAGTTAAAATCATAATGAAAACCAATCAATCAAAATAATTTATTTTGAAATGTAATTATTATAGTCAAATTTCAAATATCACAATCTAATTTTGGAGAAAGTAAAAATTAAGAATCCAATTATCGGGAGAGCATTGACCAAGAGATAAAATTTAAGAGAACAATCAAATGACAATTATCAAACTCATCGTGATTTTGCAAATGAATTTTGAATGATAATAATTGGTGACTTCCTATGCAAGGAAAAAATAGAATTGGGGATAAAAGAAAAACTAAAAAGATAGAGACAATATTGGGTCCGTTTGGAGCTGACTTTTTTTGGATGTGAAACAGAAGTTTGAAAAGTGAAATGAAAAAATCAGAGTTAAAAAAGTACTTACAACCGTTTGGAGTATTTTTGAAAAAGTCAGCTTTGCCTTGGAAGCAGTTCGATAAACCCCATTTTTCAGCTTTGCCTTCATGTTAATAAAAGTCATTTTTCCCCCAAAAAGCTGTTGGACAAGCCACCCAAATAAGCCCGAGTCCAAGCAGACCCGACTTCTTTTCCTCTAAACCAAAAAAAAACTAAGGTTTTCAGCTGGGTTCACACAGGCCTAATTGAATTGTATGAAAGAAGCTTAAGTCTAAATTTTTAATTCATGAAAGAAACCAATTTTTTACCAAAATATAGGGAATAGAGCTATTGGAGTCAAAATCTATCCAAAATTCGTGGAGATATTAAAATAACATTATTCTAATTATAACTCTCGAATTTAACCTTTGAGACCACATCACTTAACATATAATTAGGTCAATAAAGTAGTTTAGATTTTTAGACCCAAAAATGTTATTGAGATATAGAAGTAGGGTTTGAAACATAGAAGTAGGGATAAATTTATACAAATTTTAAGTGGGGGCAAATTTTAAAAAAACTTAAAACTACCAACAAAAAAATTCAGAATTGCACTGGGGGCAGTTGCCCCCACTGCCCCAGTGTAAATCCATCCCTGATGCTGTGACCCTTTTCAAAACTAACCCTAGTTATCACTGCATGAAACAATCCAAGCAAGTCCTTTTTGGATCTATTACATCTACGAACGTCCCGAAACAATCGATTGAACAACACACATAATCGCATGAAGGGAAAAAAAAAACCCTATCGAAGAAATTCGATATCTCAAAATTTGTCACCAACAATACAATTTTGTGTGTGTGTGTGTGTAAATACACAAAGATGTAGTGTTTTAAATCAAAATCAAGTGGGAATAAACCGTACCTCAACAGTGTGTCACTACTCTTGCTCTTTTCCTTGTTCTTCCCTCCCTGCTAATGGCAACCCTCTCTCTCTCTCTCTTCGGTCTTTGCGTTAACCCCTTTCCTCTCCGACGCGTTATTTATAGAAGGGTAATTTACAAGTTATACCTCTAAAGTGTACCTAATTTTTATTTGAGTCTTGAATTTTCAATGTTAACAATTATATCCTTAAGTTGTAACTTATTTTCGATTTAGACCCTCCAATCAAATCTATTGGTTTTTTTCTTTTCTTTTTTTGATATCTTAATTGTCTCGTTAGATCACCAACAATATTCCCTACTCACTTATCGTATTAATGTTGGAAGGTGTGCAAAACTGCATCTCCACACAAGAGAATAAATCTATAGAGTGACCACAATGAACTACGTTTTGTAGGATATTCGAATATCTGACTTAAGTCTCGTGAGAGATTTATCAGGTGACTAACCTCTTGGGGTTCAAATCTATTGGTTTGTTTCAACAAAAAAAATATTTATTTTAAACATATCAACATTTTTCTCAATATCATAATATATCTTAACTTCCTATTTTAAATCTTTGTTTTTTTGTTTGTTATCTTTTTTTTTTCTCAAAATCAAATAAAATAAAATAGTAAGATTATATAGCCTATAAGTAAAAAAAAAAAAAAATACTAGAAAAATGTACCCTTTCTCTCAAGTCACATGTTGGTCTTTCCGTGATAATAAATTATTAATTTTGGATATAAGGTCTCAATTAAAACTTAATTAAAATTTTATTAATTTAATTACAATAATTAAAATTTTAGAGACTAAATAAAAATTTGACGCATAATTTAAGAGTACAAATTATTTATCCTTTTTATAAAGACACCATCCTGTGCAATATAAGAAAGACGAAACAATAGAAGGCAACGTCAAAGCTTCCAACCAATCTTCCTATCAAAGGTTCTACCATTACATGATAAAGAAAGATTTTTTTAACATAAAAGCTTACGTCACAAAAATTTTGGTTAAAATCTAAAGAAGACTTAAAAACTTTAACTATTAAACTAATCCTAAATTGGCTTTAATTAAACTACTTAAAATTAATTAGTAATAAATAAAGAATAAAAAACTCTTTGAGAGTTTGGGTTAAACTCCAACATTATACTTGGATCCCCCTAATTTCTAATAATTACATCTTATTTTAATTACAAATAACTCTTTTTTTTTTCCAACCGTAAATGCAAATAGTCTTTTTTTTTGTGTCACTATTTTGCAACTTGTATATGGAAATGACATCATGAAGATCAAACCCACAATCTAACGGTCCAATTGCGGGCTGCGGAGTCATTAATCCACTGCTGATCTTCAAATGCAACACAACAATGTCATATTCTTCTTATTATTTATTTAATATTACTAACCTAACCTGCTAACACTATTAATAGTAAATAATTTAGGTTTATTGTTAAATTTGAATAATTTAATTTTGATCCAATTAATCTATTTAATTGGGATTATGAAATGAAAATATCTATTTTTTTTTTAATTTCTTGTTCTATGAATTCTTGTAGCATTAGAAGATACTTTATTTTCTTTTTATGTTTTTTGATTCAATGGTTAGGGGTGTTCAGACTAATTTACGCATATTTCGACTAATCTCTTATCCGATTTGGTTAAAGGCAAGTCATTTACGTCGGGAGTAAAATATTCATAGAAGATAAATCTTCTGTGGTTTGGTCGAATAAATTATCAAAATTTGAACTCACTTTACTTATTTTTTAGACCATAAATTTAAAACAACACGATTGGGACATAACTTGATTCAATTACCGCACCTAATTCAATTCTTAAGCACTGTTATAATAATAGGAAAAAACTTTACATAAAACCTCTTAGTTTTGTCCAAACAAAAAAAAAAGCCAACAATCTCATATAATAAAACATAACATAAAAGTACAATAACTGTTCTAATCGTTTGAATTCGGTGACTTATCATACCACTTAGATTTTAACTTTTTAATTACAATAAATGTACTTATTTTTATTTCAACATTTTTACCGTAGAAGATCTATCTATTTATATTTTAGTATTTTAATCATCATGAATATAATTATTTGTACTTTAACCATAATAAATTTACTCACTTATATTTTAACCACCAATTTTAATCTTACATACTTCTTGTGCAATGCACCTGTATTCGTATATTAACTATTGTGTGTAACCCCATGGTGCAATATGAATTATTTGACAAGGATGTTGGTAGCCGTTGAATGAGTCTATTTGAGATATTATAAATTTATTAAAATCTGCTATATTTTATATTATAGATTTAAGCAGCTCAATTCGGGTTTGAGTTTGACTAAAATGTAAAAATATAACAATTGTCCAAATTGTTTAAACCCTACAACTTATATTTTAAATTTTTAACTACATTTAATATGCATATTTATATTTTAACCTTTTGATCATAATAAATTTGCCTATTTATATTTTGCTTCTTTAATCACAGTTTTATATATTTATATTTTAATCATAGTAAATTTGTTTACTTATGTTTTAATCTCCCATTTTAATTATACATACTTATCTTTTTTTTTTTGCGTGCCTAAAATGGATTTGTAAATAAGTCATTCCACATATTCATCAAGAAGCATTACCCTTCAGCGACACACAACTATTTGAAAGAGACTCCATCACACCTATGTTAGAATCGGAGCTAAAGTTTCAGGGCATGCTCTGTTCGTTGAAGAGTAAGTTTAACTCCACCGAATTATCGTAACTATAAAAACTCAAACCCCAAATGTTGAATGAAATAATCTGAATTTTTTACTCACTTGACCAACCACTAAAAATAAAATAGTTGAGGGATCTCCTTAGAAATCTAAAATACAAAACGAGACAAATTTTAATAGGTTTATTCGACGGTTTCAAAGAGACTCATCTAATGACTATCAATATTCTTCTTAAAATTATTCATATTAATTCTCCTTCTTATATTCATACTTCTTATTTATATTACATCCATGTCCACGAATTACCCTAATATTATATATTTGAGGGCCTTCCAAAATAATTTATATATTTGTGGACCTTCCTAAATAATTTGCTCGAAAAGAAGTAATGGTATCTTTCTCCGTACTCACTCCTACAACCCCCACAGACCCATCCCTCCACTTCTTGTAAAACATTTTTAATAAACAAAGATAAGAGAGAGAGAGAGAGAGTACCATGGGAACAATTACAGCAACAACGGGTCTGATTGTAGGCCATTCCTTCAGGGCACAGTTCTCATTATCATCCAATAGACCATTGTTGGAGACGAAGAAGGTGGGTTCAGAGCTAAGGTTTGTGACTTCTCAGCTCAGTGGCCTCAAAATTTCGTCCAATCAATATGGTGACTTTGCCAAACCCATCATCTCTTCTTACCTTTCAGGCCTCCACTTCAACCCGTGGCCCGTAATCTCTCTCTCTCACTCTCTCCCTCCCTCTCTCGTATTATTTTCTTCTTTATGTTTCTGTTTTCAATTGTTGAAAAATAATTCTTGTTGGGTATTGTTTGTTTGACTTAGAGTTTCATTTCTGCATTAAGGGATGTGGGTGTGTGAGTTTATGCTTTTGGGGAATGTGAATTCATTGAATGATGTAAGAAACACTTGGAATTTTGGGCAGTAGAGAGGAAAGGAACATGTTAAAAGGACCTGTTGGGGACTACTTTAAAATGAAAATTCTTAATTTTAAGAGAAACTTTTCAACTTGTCTTGTTGGAATTGCATCTGTAACTACTGTTTGATAGAGAATACCCAAACTTTTATTATTCCCTTGTTTTCAGTCATTGAAATATAAAGGAGAGCATTTTTTGTGAATTAACAAAGCCCATAAGTTACATATGTCCGAGTGAAGTGCAGAGGAAATCAAAATAAGGACTTCGTGCCCCACCTCCCAACAAAACTAAGACTGACAGGTGGTAAATTGGAAGATTGGCATTCTGATTAGATGCTAGAAGTTTGGGTAGCATGGATTAAAGTCTATCTTTTAATTGCAAAGGCTGTAGCTGTCGAGGTAAGAATCACATCAGACTTCAACTCCCCCTAGAATCTGATCTTCCACTAAACTTGCCCTCCTAAGAACTAGGCTTTTAATTGCTCTTCACGAGATATTGCAATACCACTTTATCTGCAACTCCTGCATCCAGTGGCTTGCACACTGCTTTATAGGTAGTTGTGTTTCTCTCACTCCATCCAAGGTTTCAAGAGCCATCATTACCGCCCTGGCGTGCCAATGCTTCGGGAATTCATCTATGATCGTTAGTCATTGACTGTGGGACCAATTGTTGGGATTAGGGGAGTGCAATACAAGAAGTCCACTATGCATGTTTGGAACTTAAAAACCCCAAAAACTTTGACCTATAGGTAGTGAACCTATTCGTAGTTAGAAAGAGAAAAGAGTATACTTACGTATTTTGATAGTTGTCACTGGTCATTTTTCTCTAGAGTACTAGTGCTGTACAAGTAGAGTGCAGATTGAGCTTTGTGTTAATGAATTATGAGCCTTCCTAAACAAATGGTTATCTTTATTTACTTTTTTTCTTATCTGGGTTTCTTGTTATAGATCCATTGGTAAAAATCATTTTCCTTTCTTCTAGTGGCATCATTTGATATGATAATTTTTTTGCCCCAAGTGCTGTGTAAGATATATAGAGACATCAAATTTCTGTCAGACCTCCAAACACTATTTTGATTCTATCTTGTGCCACTCTTGTGAACCAAAATGGAGATATTTTTCATTTTGCATGTCATTATTGTACAATTTTGCACTGTGTGTGATAGCTTTACTTATGCCCTGTGAGTCTGAGTAGTTGACTCCACCATAAGCAAGGTATATGGCCCTTTCTACAGTCTAGAAAGGTGCAAACCCTGCCACTCATTAGCTTCTAAATTCCTGAAAATTTCCAAGCCTCGAGTGTGAGCTCAGTTTAGAGCATGTTTCAGAATCTAGCATCTGAAGCATGTCCAGCTCAATTATGTTTAACAGCAATTACGAACAGTCTAGCAATTTTTTCACAAGACGAAAGTCAAGCTGGGGATGCTATGCTAATATTTTTTTTGAAGAAGAGGAATGCAAATTGGTAAAATTACGTTTGATGATTCCACAGAATGAGCATGTGAAAAGGGAAGACTCCATCTTCTAGTAAGAGCATAAGTCTGCTGCATTAAGGGTCATACATACATCGAAACACAATAATATTGACATGGATGCTGCAGTTCTTAGTTAGATATAAATTTTAGAGCTCTAAAGATCCTGCTTCTGCTATTATGTTTCACACTCAAATTTAAGCTTCAAAAAAGACCACCACACTGAAAGTTGACGCATATATGCTGTAGTAGGGCCTTGCATTAGGATCATTGGGTTTGTGGTTCCTTTCCACTGTTGCAACCTTGAAGTTTATGAAATTTGGAGATGTGTTTGATGATCCTGAAGCCTTGCATTTGCTCGAGGTTTCGTGCTCTGTGAGGAGATATAGTAAGCTATTGTCTTCCACCTACTAAAATTTGAAGGAAAAAAAAAAAAAGATGATGCAATTCCAGAGTTAAAACTAAAACATTTTAGAATTGTGTGTTTAATTTTTTTTTCCTAATAGATCTTTTTCATCATGCAAATTTGGGAAAGTAAGGTATTCTCATTCATGGGTTTAACTCCTTTATGCTTTTGAAGACAAGATGAATGTTGCCAGTCCTTTGATAGTCTGTTTGTAACTGATTGGAGATTTAGTTAATTGAATGTTGATTAGGGCAGCATCTGGCAAGGCGCACTGCCTTTTGGTTTTGGCTTGAAGAACAAATGAGTACTTCTATAATAGCATCCAAAATGCTGCATACTAAAAAGTTTCTTAAGAAACATTTTGAAAGTTGATGGACAGTATTGATTACTGTCACGATTCATTTATTTTACAGGTAGGATTTGTCCCTTCACGGGAAAGAAAGCCAACAAGGCCAACAAGGTTTCCCACTCTAACCACAAAACAAGAAAATGGCAATATGTGAACCTACAATACAAGAAAATTTGGTGGGAGGCAGGGAAGCGCTATGTCAAATTGCGCTTGTCAACTAAAGCTATAAAGACCATAGAGAAGAATGGGCTGGATGCGGTTGCTAAAAAGGCTGGGATTGATCTTCGCAAGGAGTAGTTTGGATAGCCTATTGGTTTTGCCTAATGCTGCTGGTAAAACATTACTAGAAACCATCGCCTCTGTTAATGTTTAAGTTACTTGAGCATATTGATGTGCTGCTGATGTTTTATCCATTTGAATATTCATTTGTGTATGTTGCGTTGATTTCTTTTTACTCATGCACCCAAGTGAATACATCTTCTGCTTCTTTATGAATGTGTCCACATGAGTGTGTGTAGCAAGAGAGAGAGAGAGAGAGAGAGAGAGCTCTTTGCTGAAATCAGCAATGCCCCTATGCAGCACCAATTTTTACCCTCATTCTCCGGCCTGTTTAATGCTAAGAAAAGTCTTACTTATTCCCATTTGTTTATTTTTTCTGACATGTACCTTATCTAACACTATTAGGGGCCGTTACTTTCTGTTCATCTGCCTCATTTTGGATTGGATCACATTGTCTTTCTCATTAGCCATAGCCTTTTTAGCTGCTCTGTCTGCTTGATAGTGGCTGTTGAGGCTATGTACATTGTATCCATAGGTAATGCCAAATATATTGTACTATGTTGGTAAGGGAGAATTGCCTTAATCACGTGTCACTTTAGAATCTTAAACTCGTGATTGCAATGCAAACTTCTGACCCATAGTAGCAATTATTGATTAAATCCAAGTTCTATTCTGCCAGAGAAACGCAAACTCAATACATACAACTTTTATGTCTCGCATTTTGTTTGACCATTGAACTAACTCGTGTAGGTCTGTTCTTTATTGATTAAATTGAAGTCAACTTTTAGTCATGCTTTTGAAGTAGAGTAATGAATAGCTTTGCAAATACATTAGTTACTAGTTCTTGAATTTGGTGATATTATCATCAACCTATTCAGAAGGCAAATGAGTGTTTGATAGTGTTTTGCATTGATTCTTCTGAAGGTTTGAGGAAATGCACCTTGACATCCTTTATAGGCAATTTAAATGAGTCATAATGAACATATGTTTCAGCATATGTGGCAGCAATGGATTAAAAAAACCAAAAAAAAAACCAGAAATCTTATCACAGCTCTGCTAATTTGAATCATCTGCCTTTTGGTGTAACGGTTAAACCATGTTAACAATGTTATGTGGTGTAATCGTTCATTAATAAGTGAACAAATAAGCAAGTGAGCTCCACAAAATTAAATAACCATTCAACCATGTAATATGTAACTACCTCTGTGTAAGAAAATGTGGTTCACTTTATCTATTTTTTGGTTTTTTTATTGGACGGTTACACCACGTGACAATGCTGACGTGCTATAACCATTATACCCAATATTTACTCCTGCTTTTGGCCTGCCTACTTCAACATCATGGTGGTTTCGTTTGCCCAAGGATGATGAAAAGTACTCTGTAGAATGGTGCCTTGAATCTCTGTTCCTGGTCTAATGTTTCTTAATCAGTAACTAGAATTGCCACCCCCAGCTGCCCTGCACAACAAGAAATAACAAGTAAACGTCAGTTCCATTACATTCCTTAACAATCGAAGAATCTAAACCATCTTTCCTGGAGCCATTGTTGGACAAGTTCATCTAATGAATGACACAACAAATTCCACTTTGATTGATATTTACAGTTTCTTAAAACACTACACAAGGTGCATCAGGAGCAACTCGACTATAATGATATACTGAGATCGAATGTTTTTGAAAGTACGATGAAATCCGTTACCAAGATGAAGACGAAGATGCTAATCACATCATTTTTGTACTCTTGGGGACCAAGCATACTTGCGAGCCGCAAGTGCAACCGTAGTCAACCCAACAGGTGCTATAACAACCACCATTTGCCATTGCAACATGAACTCCGACTACAACCTTCATGAGAAGCTTCAAATCAGGAGAGCATAAAATTCCACAGTATCCATCAACAGTGTGTGTGAAGAGTTGCCAGAACAGGAACTAGTCCACGAATTCTTTTGCAAGAACATGTTCCAGTTGCCTGATCAATAGCAAGAAATTAGACAAAATTGTAATAGCAATAGAAACAAATCCAAGGATGAAATATGTAAGTTTTAATAGCTTGCCAATGTGAAATAACTTGGGATGACTGTTTTCTATCGTTTGCAGCAGAGAGAAATTCCAACATAGTTCTAGAACGGCCTAAAGTTAATATTATCAACTGATGTGAACAACTCTATGATCAAGAGAAAACACATACACACAGCTTCTTTGTTTTCCAAAGAACTACTATACATGAAGAAAGTTGCTCTTACTTGTCCATCAACAAGCAATTAAATAGTTGAAGGAGGGAAAAATGTTGTAGCTTTGAGTTATGAAAATAGAATGCGAGCTATAGAGAAGAACAAAGAGGTCCCTGAAGTTATGTTCCTCCCATTGATGTCCCAAGCGATACACTTGTGGAGTACCAACCAAAGACAGGACCAATCAAATCCAAAATGCGTATTCATGTCAAGTACCAATCAAAGACAGGACCAAAAATATGTACTTATAATCGAAAATAATATTACTGTTATTGATAATTTACTGGCATGAAGAAGTAACATTCGTAGACACCCAATCTTTGACTCAATAACCAAATTCAAAGCAAAAAAACTCACAACTGTAGCATGCAACTAGACAATAATTCCAATCAGCATTAGTGAAAAGGAAGCTTCAAAAAAGATAAGTTCCAGGCTTCCAGCAGGTAAAACAATTTAAGGGTAGAAAACATACATTCTTCAAAAGAGAAATAGAGAAAAAGAAGGGGGGGGGAGGGGTCTATCCATAGTTTTGAGAGGCATATGACTGCCTTGATCATAGTGTTTTTATTTTTGGCTCGCATTTTTGTCAGCTTTGGTAAAGAATTGTTCATATTGTTTAAATACATAAATTACTTACTTTCAAGCTTTGGAGTTTCCTGAACAACTTACATTTGCCTTTTTCTTCATAATCTTCCCCAGAAGAACTGTGGCAAGCTGCTGCTGCAGAGCTAGACATGTTCTCCAACAAGGTTTACAGTGAAGGGGCAGTAAAAAGTTTCTAGCAGCAATTGCAGCACCAGATGGAACTGAATAATAATCTTGTTGACGATCTCTTCATCCCATCCGAGAACTTTAATCCCCCAATATCACTTGTCAAAAGAGAAAGTTCCTGTTTTCTAATAATAAGCAGAACATGTCTTGCAACATCCCAACAGCAAGCTCTGCAATTTCATCCTATGGCCATGTCAACACAATACTTAATCTTAGAATGTAGGTACACATACTTGAAGGAAAAATAGTCTGTATTTGAACTACATGTAGAAACATCTTCAAGAAGCATATCTATATGCATAGATAGAATTCATGCTGCTTTGTACTATTCATGAACATATGGTCTCACAAATTCAGATCTTACAATGAAATTTCAGAGAGTTCTAAAATTCTGTAGTTGTGTTCTACATATATATTCACTTGCAGGATTTCATGGGACTTTGATCCATTTATCTCACTTTGTTTGAGTACTGATCCTTTAAGTGCATATTTATTTGAGTTAACAAACACCAACAAGTTGTAGATCAATTGGTTTGAGTGGTGTGAGGATGAGTATGAGGTTGAGTGTTCAAGTCTTGAGAGGTGCATAAATGTGCCTATAATATACACAAAGGCTTGAACAAACACTTTGTTCTTATCCTCGCAACATCTCAGGCCAACTAAGCTATTACTTGTTGGTTTTTTTATATTTTTAACTTATATTTTCGAAATTAAGTGTATGCCTCTCTGTATGTATGATTGTGTTCGATTCATAAACACACACAAAAAAACAAAGAGAGAACAACACAGTGTAGTATTCCCAATGTAAGTGTCCACCACAGCATCTGATTGTTTTGTACTAGATTATAAACAAGAAATTGTCCAATACAATTTCAGATTGATTGTGATTGACCAACGAACACTAAAGTAAAAGCCACCATGAGTTTCAGAGACCATTATACTGATGGTAAGCATGAGTATCAAGTACTTCACAATGAGTCTGTACATAAACTTTATCCACATCTAATGTCTTAAGACAGCATCGTTGCTTTTACACAAAAAACTGATTGCAGTAGATAACAACAGGAGTATTTCCACATCCCTACTCACCTCTTGGCTCCAATGAGAACTGCAACATGATTTTCAAGTGGCATCCTCGGGAGTAAACAACCCATCACGAATCAAAACTTCAGTTACGTTATGTTCAGTGTTGTCTTCGACAGATGCCACTTGGTAACTTAACGATAAGGCTTACAATAACCTATGGCTGCACCCACAAGAGCTATGTAAACAGTAAATAGAGTAAGATCGTTAGACACGATGAATTTCAGCATAGAGAAATCACCCAAGTACTGCATTAGATTTACTGCAGCAATAAGAAAAAAAACCTTTGCAGGAACTTAGGTGAGCAGAAATGCTGTGCAGAAGTCACCCTGCTGGCTATTCTATCAATCCTTGCCCCGGCCTTTACTTGATAGCAGCAATGCTGTGCCCAAATTTGTATTTAGAGGGAAATGGAAATTCTTATGTCCATCAACAGAATGAGACACATGAACAGGCTATCATTGATTCGGACATCTTTTTTAAAAAACTTTGTTGGAATTTGTCAACAGCTCAAGACAAGCAAATCTTGAAAGAGAATTCATCACGAATTCCTTCTTATACAGATTCTAAGCACAAATCATTCTTTTTCTATCATCCCAAATTCCCAACCACTCAAGCACAATGCACATTTTCCACAAACAGTGAGTTTGAAAAGAACTGAGATGACAAATGTAAGAATCCCTCTCCCTTCAACTGTGTACAGCTTCATATTTTTGGTTGGTGTTGAAAAGGAAAAATAAAAACATTGAGTGCGTGTCTTGAAGGTATGCCTGCAGATGAACACAAACTAAATATGGGCTTTCAAGGATAAGTTTAGGTATTCAATAGCACATCAAAAACTTAACAATTGAAGAAATCAAAGCAAGAGCTGTCTGGAGGTCATATGCATGTGTGTAAAAGTTCATTAAGAGTACTAAGTACACTAACAGATACAATAATCACTCTTGGCATCTGTTCTCTTGGCCACCAAAAGAAGAGTCATAATTCTAACTCAATTCAACGAGCCCTTGTCCCAACATTTTTGGGGTCTATTACATGAATTCTATTCCGCCATTGAACTCTATTAAGAGTCATAATTCATAAAACTTAAAAAGAAAGAAAGATACGGGTCCTTTTCAACTTAAAAAGAAGGAAAGATACATATCCTTTTTAACTCCAACAAATCAAAAAAGATGGATGTCAAACCTTGTTTCATTCTCTCCTAGTTCATTTATACTCCTCTTATAATACTACTACTTGCACTAACACTTCTAAAGATGCCACTAAACAGTAATATTACGAATTATGATAACCTCATGCATATACGAAAACAATAACCTTATACGACACTCTCTCTCTCTCTCTCTCTCTCGTGCAACCAATGACAAGGAAGTCAAATAACATTGTTATTCGCCAAGGTCAAAATTAAACCAAATATGTCATTCATTCCTATAGTTTTATAGTATACACCTTTGTCAAATTAATTCAAAATCTCACTAGTCCCCAAAAACATCTAATCTAAATTTGGCATCAGCAATTGAAGTTTTTCACATTCAGACTCCAAAAATTATCTTACTGATCATCATATAATAAAATTCTGTATCAAGATAATCTGATAGGAAATGCATACCATCAGAATTCGTCATAATCGACTTCTCTCCTATTCCCTCACAGCCTCATTAAGTGTTGCAGCCTGGTTTGTAGGTGGTCATCTTTGTATTTAAATCACTGACCTTAGCTACAGGAAGTCAGGAACTACAAAATTCAAATAGAATACCAAACACAACCGATCAATTGTATAACAATTCGATCGGACAATGTAAAGAATATTTTTACTGTTCACCTGTAATCCTACACACTTACAGTTTGTTAAGCTTGGCGACTAACTCATCACAAGTCCCTGAATGTCGGGCATTTCTCAATCTAATTTACGCAAAAGAAGAAAAATACATCAACAATGACAATTATATAGAATTGCAATGGAGGAAAATGAAAGAAAATTCAATGATGCAACGAAAATTCAAAGGAGGAAGATGAAAATTCAACTCAATAAGGATTCACAAGACTTTGAAAGATAATTCAACGCAAAAACTCAAACATGGAGCAAAATGAAAGAAAATTCAACCCAAAAACTCACAGTTTTGTTTTGTTTTTTCTGGGTTTTTGTTGTTATAGCTCAAATTTCAAAACCCAGCTCAAACGCAACGTAATTTGAATGATGCAATTTTATTCCTGCATTTTCTCGGCAACCAAACAGCGTCACACCAACAAAAATTTATTCTAAAAAAGTTGATGAATGCATTGTTAGATATACTCAGATTAACCAAAAAAAAATTATCTGATTCTATGAGCTTTTAAGCACTGCGTCATAAGGATTCACGAGACTTAGAAGTTAGAATCGTCAAGAGCACAAAGGTTTTCCGGGTTTTAGACCATCTTCTATGAAGATTTCAGGTTCTTCTATTCTCTTTATTGATCCAAAAGTCTGAAATGTTTAGTGTATTTGAGCTTTTGGCAGGGAAATAGAAAATATAACTTTTTTTTGTCCAACTCTTTAGCCTTAATTTATGAAAATTACTCATTAATTTAGAGGCAATTTTAACATTCACCAAGAAAAATTGAACCATATCTTTTCAAAATAGAAAATTTGCTACAAATTTCTATAAATTTATGTACTTTTAATGGGGGTATAAATGATTTCACATTTGAATTTTACATAATAGTTTTGATTAGAAAATGTAATTTGTCGGTCATTTAGGGCAATAGCAATATAAGCTCAACAATATGTGATGCATTAAGTTTCTTCGAGTGCGAAAATATTAGTGGGTCGTTGGAACTTGAAAGAAATAAAAGAATCATTATTTCCGTTACATCATTTAGTCTCTATTTTCTCTCTCTCTCTTAAGAAGAATGCATTCTCACTCCTCTAGCCTTTCTTTTCGGAAAACAATCAAGTCATCTTCTAGCCTTTCACTTACAGATGGAACTTTTGATTTCATGATCCATGGAGCATAGACCTAAAGCCAGTCTATCCAGTGCCAGATTTTAAACAGACATTCAATTGAATTGACATTCGCAATGGAACTCCAAAAATGGTTGCTTCTGTTGATTTTTAGATGTCGATGCCACTCAACATAACCTAAGAAATATTTATAGGTTCAGCACTCAGCAGTAAGAAGAGAGGGTATTAAGACACCAATTCTATTATCTCATCTTATAAAGAAATCACCTGTTATAAACACAATTCTATATAAACTCCAACATGAAGTGACCCCAGTTTACAACTTCACTCATCTCCCTGACATGGATAGTTTTGAACGAAAGGTAGGACAAAAAATTCATATACCTTTTGACAGTGTTTGTTTTATCGAATTACACTAGGTTCTACACATCAATTTATCAATATGGAAAATAATTTACGTAAGACAACGTGTTAGGTAGGGCTGTACTGGCAGATTATCTGAAAGGTTCGACAGGTGCAGATTCTTGAAGAAGAGCTGCAGCCTCAAAATATTCTGCCGCTTCAAGTGTTGATGCACCTGTCTCGGCCTTGTAAAGTAGCCCAAGATGGTACCATGCAGAAGGGTTTGTTCTATCAAGCCGCAATGCATCAGTTAGAAGGCTTCTCACGACTGGAAGCGATTGATCGCTGAGCATCTTGAGAACAATGGCTGTTGAAACCAAGCTAGGGACATGATTGGGTTCTACATCCAGCGCCTTCTCAAACGATTTCAGGGCTTCTTTGTGGAGACCCCGTGCCTCATTGAGTAAACCTAGCAAAATCACCACCAAACTTCAAACAGTTGACTTGAGAACAAGGCCAAAAGTAGGGCCTTTGTCTTCCTCTCCTTAAATTAACAAGAACCAATATATTTGGTAACATTGCAAGATAGCAAAAGGAGTTTAGGTTATGTAAGAATGACTTGTAATTAGACATGTTATGTGAGCCAAAAGGCCTCTAGCTCAAACAATGCCAGCATCCTTACTTATATACAAAAGCAACCATGTGGATGGACCACCTGAGAGGGGCCACAGGTGAGAGGGAGTATTGTACATGACGAAACATGTAATCTAAAAGATGAAAAGAGGGGTTTTACTAAGGGTTATAGTGTGTAGCAGTAAAATACAAGCAGATGCACCCATGGTGTGGGCTGAAGGGCATAACTGTGGCACATTGTAGGTGCTTGGCTGAGTGGCACATGCACATATGATCGTGTGCTAGCTATCGTATTATTACATAAATCTCCAATGCACAGGACAAAAAACTTTAATCGACAGCCAATAAATGTCAATGCCTACCTTAACTTGACAGTTCTCCATCTTCCTCTCCCATCTAATTTTCCTTGGCCAAATGTTATGTAGGAAATCTCAAGTAGTACTAACTGCATATTCCAATGGTCTGTTGTAATCATGGAGGTTTTTTGCTTTGAACCCATTAGCAAACCCTAAATTGAATGGGGGCAAATATAGCCTTAAGGATAGTCTTCTCTATGTGCATTCGACCACAAAATTATTCTTTCATATATAGGCTTTGCAGTCTAACTTTACTATTTTTTTTTTTATTTGTTTGACAGAGGAGTTGGTAGTCTAGCATTGTCGCATTATTCATTGCTTTTTTTTTTTTTTTGGGTTCAATAGTATTAGCTATGGGAAGCCCTCCAGCCCCATAATGCCACCCCTGCCCATGTTTGTCTACATGGACTAACTGGTGGTTACTGTTACACTAGTTTTCAAAGTAGTAACCCTACACAAGGCTGATTGATAGGCATACTTTAAAGGGCACAGAGATTTTGTCACATGTGGATGAGCAAGTACTGCATATGCTCACTAATCTTTGCTTCCCAGTTCTGCAAATTCTCACCAATCTTTGCTTGTCTTTATACACTGATGAGATCTCTGCTTCACCAAAAACTGCTTCCAGAGAATTTTTCTGAAATGAAAAAAAAAAAAAATGGCAGGCAAAGAATCTTACTTGATTCCAATACCAGATACACCAATACATCTCCAATCTCTATGATAAATCATCCCATTTAGAATAATGATCCTCGAAGAAATTCGTTTTCTTATTGCAGAAACTATGTTTAATGGAAGGAAATGGATTGAGGGAGAAGAAATTTTTGTTTATCCCCAAATTATGCAACTCTCCATGCTGACTCACTTGGCTAGGGAACTGTAGAAACTAATAGCACAATGATGGTGGCATTGTTCCTTAAAAAGAACAGGAGTAGTGGTATGGGAGGTTGATGTAGTTAGTCAGTGTCTATCTGATAGCTCCAGAGGAAGTCCATAATCCAAGGAAAAAATAATATAAGAGAAGAAAATAAAGGGAGTGAGTAGAACATAATATACCTGTGGAATGCCATCTGGAAGAAGAATGAGGATTGATAGCCTTGGATTTTGAAAGGCAGACCTCAGCGTCTCGCCATTGTGACAAACTTGTGTATACATTTGCAAGGTCATGCCATGTTTCCATTTCCAAACTTCTATCGATGTTTCCCTGCTTCTGCAAAAAATAAATGTAAATGCAACTAACACTGAACTATCAAATTTTGTGAACTATTGAATTTTAGGCCTAGAATGAGGGGATTTTCTCCATTCCACACATTCTATCACAAAGAAGTCTCCACAATAGTTTACCATGATAGTCATTTGGCATCATACCTTCAAAAGCTTTTTCTGAATTCCAAAGCTTTTACTTTGAACCTGAAGAACCGCAAGAAGATGGGTATATGTCTCTATGACATTCTTTACTTTACCCTGTGCAGATTGGAGTTTAGCTCTAGTTCTCAATAATTCCCCTTGATCCCACTTTCCTGTCTCATCTAGAGCAGCATTAATTATATTCTCAGCATCAACATATCGTTTCTGAGCTGATAATATGCGTGCTAGAAGGATCCATCCTTTGACATTAGAACCGGCCTCCAGTTTTAACAGCTGCTTTGCATAATGAAGAGCAACATCCAATTTTCTCTGCTCGGCATTTTCTAAACTAAGATGGAATAGGACAACAGGATTTCTTTCTCTCATCCCTTTGTTGGCAGTTTCTAGAGCCTCAAGTGCTTCAGACTGTTGCACAATCCTCTGAGAATCAGAAGCAATCACTTTTGACTGAGCTGAAAGTGTGATACCAAGTAAGCAATTTGTAAAACTCACCATCTGCTCACACCTTCCCCCAGATTTGGAGAGCAATTTGCGAGCATAGTAAATCCCTTCGTCAAGGCAATTAGAATTCTCTCCGCAAATCTTTGAAGCCAATAATAACTCAAATGTGCAGCTATGGTTCTCTCTATCATTGAACAGGTGCCTCAAGAGATTCATAGCCACCATATCCTCACCACCCCCATAGTAACATAGAGCTAGAGTGCTATATATTTCCTTTCTTTCCTTAATCCCAGGAGGTAACTCTTCAATCTGATAGGCAAGAGGCCTCAATTCACCAGCAATAGATAACGCGAAAGAAAGATGATCCAAGATTGATGGATCCCACCCAATTCTATTGAGGGCAAATTTTTTAAGGAGGATCAATAGCAGAAGAATAGCCTCTTCTACATTGTTCCGTGGTACAAAGGAACCTTCCATCTGGGAGCGGAGATTTGGAGGGGTTGCTTCACTACCGCTGTACAGAAGAAAAACTGCAAACTCCTTTTCTATTTTTATTCTGGTTTCCATGTCCAGATTCCAATGATAGAGGAGAGCCCGCCTGTACGACAAAATTGCTTCTTGGGGGGCCCAAGTGAGTTTCCACAGCTCCGGAAGTAGCTCAACAACCTTGTTTAAGGTTTCCTGCAATTTACAATCAGCTGCAAAACTTTCGGGCAAACCTCCTGGCAATGCAGATTCAACAGTGTCCAGAATTACTTTGCATGATTGAGCAGCTTCTACAGAAATCCAATGGAAAGAAAAATTAGCCATGCAATTAACAGGCTAAAGTCTGATTAACATATACAACTTGTTTTATTGAAATCGCCAGAAACTTACTAAACTTATGCTTGTTCTCTATTGTCAAACACCAAATAAAAAGAAAGTGACTATTATACAGACAGACTTTTAATTGATCAATAAGCAGTAATAAGATACGTTGGCAGATATTATTTCCAGGAAAAAAAAATATTCAAGGTATATCATCCAACAGATACAATCCTCCTTACCTTTTGAAAGAAAACCATAAAATCCTCCATATCTAGAAGCTCACGAAAATCAATTTCAGGTATATACATCTACTGATCCAGAATATCCAACATAAATACACAATTCACTAAAGGAAGTCAAACAAGGTGGGAGAAGTACCTTTAAACCTCCCGAGAGCCTGCAATGATTTTGCTTTGAGGAACATTGCCTCAAAGAGTAAACTAACAGCATGCATAGACATTGGTGGTGCAGTATCACTTTGTGAATAGCGTCTGGGAAGCTCACATCTTCTGGCAATGGAGATTTTTATCCTGGGAGTCACAGCAGCAATGTCTATTCCTTCAAATACATGCAGAGCAGCCTCTATGTTTCCTTTTTGATACTCAAGCCGACCTAATAAAGCTCTTGCTTCCTATTAGTGCAAAGGCTCTAACCTCATGACCAACTTGCCAACCATAAATAGTGAAATGAAAGCAGAACAATGCCAATTACCACTGAATGCAAATTTAACCAATAAATATTTATAGGTAACGAAAGCATAGTCAAATATGCAAACATGCTCCTGATATCCTGATCAGGCATATGCAAAATTCTTATAAAATTTTGATTACGTAACAGCATTGAGGGTGGTAAAAGCTTAATCAGTCCAGCATGAGAAGAAAGAAGGGTTGGATCTAAAAGTAGTCATGTAGCGCAAAAAATGCCAAAGATTAGGATTGTATCTAATCCACCTCTCCCAAAAACCAGTGTTGGTGGAAATAGCATTGAATAATTGCCCTTTTTCTTTACTGGCGACATTATTGAGAGTCCATAGCATAGTTTTCTTCTGCAAAATGGATTGTGTATTGACTATCACCCTTACAAATAAAAAGAATTTATGGATGATAACATGTAAGAAAAAGAGTATCCCTTTCATAAGGACACAGTGCTGGATTTCCTAATATTATTATTCCGATTCCGATGTATAGAAATTGGCTAATAGGCTACTTCCTTGCGCACTATTACAAATGTTGGGCTAACAATGATGACGTTGTGGGTTCGAATCTGAGGGCAAAGACTTTCTGCAAATAATGCCAAAGATTGTGTTTGTAAAACTCACCAACAGAAGAAAACCAGCCATAACTGGGAATATCAAAGGTTTACCCATACAGAAATTTCTTATCTTGAAAGAGGTACCATCTTACTTTATGCATATTGAATCATAATAGAACCATGTTTAATTTTGTCCATGAACAAGCTACTTGCATTCAGTGTAGATCCGGACAGGATGCAATAATCAAATTCCCCAATGTTTCATATGTCATATATCCTCATATCGACGATAGACATGGCTTCTGTCAATTGTCATGTGTCATCACCAATGGCTGTTTTGATAAGCTAAGAAGACGGAGACACGCTGACATGAAAATTTTCAAAAAAGTAGGACATTAAGTTAAATACTATGTTTTTATTTATTTATATTATATATATGTAATCATGAGATAAAATAAATATATTTTGATATTAATCATTCAATTCATCTTTTCTTTAATTCTAACCACTCACATCATGATATCATCAAATAAAAAATTCAATACAACATATCATAAATATTTCTACAATTTTCACTTGCAAAATATCCCAAATCTTAATCCTAATTTTCATCAATTTTAAATAGCCCCAATTTCATAACCTATTTTTCATCACATTGCTTTCATATAGAAAGTTTATTCCGTTTGTATGTAATTTTTTAATTGTTTTGAAATTATATTATATTCGGGTCTTATGTTTATGTAGTGATTATAACTCTTACTACATTATGCATTTGATCCATATTTCTTTAAAATACAAATATAATTTCCTTAATTATAAAGTTGTTAGACAAATTTTCAAAAATTTGAAAAAAAAATCCAAAGTGTGTCCTCTAGCATGTCCCCATGTCAACTGCATGTCCTCAATGTGTCAACTATGTGTCCCTAACGTGTTCCCAACACGTCAGACACAAGTCCCCAATGTATCCTAAAAAAAATTAACAGTAAAAAAATCACACACTCATGTCCCAATGTGTTCCTAACATGTTCGTGTCCCAAACATGTCCGACACCAACAGTCTAACCAAAATGAAATGTCCATGCTTCCTAATTGATAAGCAACGTTACTCCTTTGCCGCCTTTTGTTATATAGGGTGGTTCCACGATAGTTTGAGCTACAAGCATGAAAGAACCTTTTTCAACATGTAACAAATTATTTATTGCAAATTGTATCACACGTTTCAGTATCCTCTTACAAAACACAAAAAAAACATAAGTTTCTTGGGAATTTTTAACATCTTGATGAAATGATATATTATTGAATGTCATGGGGCTTCCGATCATAAGGCTATCAAGCCACTCTCTCTGTTTGGCGGAAGTCTGCTGTCTGCTCTGCTATGGTAGGAAATCTAAACCTGAGCAGCTCCCCTAACTCAATACAGATGGTAATATCTACATTTGGGTATGGAAATAATAGGTGGGGAATTCATCCATTTTAATAGTAGATGGCAGGACAATCTGATGTCCTAGAGTGACAAATGCAGAGGCTGGTTTCTTAGTTAACCAACTTGCAACCCATCTCCAACCTTGGCTGTTGAAAACTTGACTTCTTTCTTATATGCTTTGGGAGGCCAAACTAGTTTTGATTAATTCATTCTTGCATCCTCTTCTATTTGTTTTGTTTCCCTTATGCACCAAACATATAGAAAGCCCACTCCATTACAGCAGCATAGCATCCATGCTTTCAATTTTTTCTGAAATTAGCACTCACAGCCAAGCAATAGAAAGTACACCAAAATAGGTAGATGCTAATTTGTCCTAAAATTCCAGGTAGGTCAATATATAAGACACCAAAAAATAAGAGGTTTTAGCTATGTGGATGTAGTAAAAGTCATTCCTCAAATCATAAAGCTAGGACGCATGCAAGGCATGAAGAACTAACCTCGTAGTTCAGAAAACCACTCTCACGAAGGGATGATTCAGCTTCTTCAATATTGCTGGTATCCACCTTTGTATCAGGCTCACCAGCTCGAGAAGAGTAACCACTTGCTGAATAGTCCCGAGTTGCCAGGGACTCTGATGAATGAACGATTTCCTCTACTCTTAAACGCTCCCCCGAAAAAATGCACTTCATCATCTTCCTCAGTCTCCCACTAAACCCGAATTTGCGCTTGTCAATCCACTTTCTAATTCTCATTCTGCTTTTGTTAAAATTGAGATATTTTAATCAGCAATCACCAACAATCATAAGAAAATTTGGAGCCTTCTAAAGAACATGTATAACACAGTCTCACTAATCACCGCTTATAAAGTCTTGGATAATGAACACTGCATCCTATCATTGAAGAGTTTGGCACTGAGAGATTAATTGTTTGCTTACAAAGAAAATATTTGAACTTGGCATTCTAAAATCCACATATTTATTTTCATAGTGAAAAAACAGAAAGCTAAATCCATAACAGTTCTACTTTCATGTTAACAAAATCAAAAGCTTAATTCCTAAAATCATCCAGAATTCTAAACGCAACTTCATATTACAATGAGTTTAAAGTTCCACCAACATTTATGCAAACCAACTTCAAATATTCCCCAAGACCATGTAGCCAGAAACCTTAAAGACATTAAACAAAGTTTTAAGCTCAAATCCCTAGATCAGAAATTTCAAATTACTTCTAGAAAACCACAGTAACAATGCAAACCCAGTTCATAAAACCACCAGTCCTACCTAATCACAAACTTAAAACACTTCCAACTAGAAACCTCGAAGGCCTTCACACCCACTACAGAAACTAACTCAAAAACCCAGCAAAATTCACAAAACCCCAGATAGATTCAGCACCAAACACACCATAGATCAGCAAAAGTACACAGTTCTGAGAGCTAAAACTGAAGAATATAGACACATTATACCATCAGAACAACCAAAAAGTGCAAAAAAGATCACACTATTGCCAAAAGTACCTTTTGAATGGTAAAAAGCATTGACTGAGCCCACAAGAAATCAACACAGCCACCACCCATTTCTCTCAATCATCCAAGAAAAAATTAAAAAGCTTCCTTGATTTTCTGGGTTTCCCAAGAATCCAAAGCTTCAAGAATTTTTTCTCTATTCCTCTTTTTTTTTTTTTTACTTTTTTGAGGGTATTCTTTGGCCTTTTGTGTGCTTCTGTGATTGGAACAGTTCTGGAGTGAAGGTTCAATAGTCAGATATTGCGGTGCATTAAATATGAAAACCCAACAACAATCTGAAATCATTTTGTCAGAGGAGTGGATGGGGGAAAGATTTTGCTAAAGATTATTAAATTAATTAACATTTTGACAATATTATTATAGTGATGGTAATTAAATTTGTTCATCAAAAAGACCAGCTATCTGATAGAATTTCGTGGGACCCAGTTTTGAAATTTAATTTCCACACCACCCTTCTTGTCAACCGCATCACCTGACGCATGAAATGGATTTAATTTTCCTTGGCGTGACTTGAACCGCTTCAGCCAGCATAGGTAGTTGGTCATGGTGGGGCTATCAGCTGCGTCGAGGGAGACGAATTTGTTTTAAATTTTAATTAGATTTGTGTTAAAAACTGTTATATTTATATTTGATTCGTTTATTAATTTATGTCATCTCATATTAATATAAAATAGAAATTATATATAATCGATATATAAACAAATCGTCTCGTGTATTTCTTTTGATAACGTTTATCAATATTCATTTATTTAATTATCGTATCGAATCAAGTTCAATCGTTTACGAAAATGATAACTTTAAAAAAAAAACCTAAATCTTTTAATTTAATTTTTATAAATTATATCATATTTTAACACCTTTAATATGAAAACGTCGCGACTTCAATCACTCATGTTTATCTGATAAAACACAATTTATTAAATGTTTTAATATATACACCACTTTTGTGAGAATTTTATATTCTTTCAATTTCAATGATTTTGTCAATTTTATTACTCATGTGAAACCCATAAAAATCTATGGATATGATTTGATAGATTGACTGGTTGATTAAATTGAATCGAAATACTTTTCAAATTATTAAACTTACGGGATTTGACAAAATAGAAAAATAAAACGATTTATTTATTTTTTCTGTCAAGTAATATTATAGAGAGAAAGGGACGACAAGGTTTAAATCTATCAATTTAATGTCCCACGGGGGACGGCGGTTATTAAGCTATATATTAATTATTTTTTTGAAATTAAAACATATATTATTGAATTTGGGTGTTTTGAAAGTCAATGGTTTTGTATCATGTTTGATTTTAAAGGCATATGTATCCCATTCCTATATTTTATTCTGTTTATATATTTAAACTTTCTCTCTCTACATCTGATAATTACTATATTATTATATAAAAAAAATCTCACATATGCACACTAGTTAATCATTGTATAATGTCGATTGTAATATTTATTGAATTTTATAAGATTCATTATACCCATATCATGGTTTTATTGTTAGATTGTGGTAATAAAATTAGTAATGATATGATATTACTATCAACCAAGCAAAAAAACACGTTTGGCAATTAACGGATATGTGATATCAAGAGTTAAAGGTTGCATTTAATAACATTTTTATTTTTATATTTTTTATATATATAAAAAAAACATACTCAAATTTTTTTTTTTTTTTTTGTGATAAAATGATAAAATAAAAATATATTTTAGTTACTGTTTTTGTTTTAGAATATTTAAAAACTAAAATACAAAGAAAAATATTATTTAAACTTAATTTAGAGATTTTATTTGGGGACTTATGATGTATAACCATTGGATTGATTGTGAATTTCATCTAACATTACAACTCACAATTAATCTAATTGTTGCATTGAAGCCACATCATTATGTATCAAAATAAGGTCCTTGCTCAAATACAAAACATGTTTGGTAATCAGTTTAATTTCTATTATATATTTTAACTTTACATTATATATGTTTTGTACCTAATGGGATTCGAAGGCTAGACCTCATTAAATGGACTCTAATTTGCGCGCTTGTTTTCGTTTGTTGCGTATTTTTAGAAACACCATTTTTTATGTTTAGAAATTTAGGACTTGTTTTTAAAACAAGGTAGGTGGAAAAATAAAAATACAACACAAACACATTTTTTATTTTTACTTTTGTCAAAAATTAAAAACAAAAACGCAAAACAAAAAACAAAAACATTTGTCAAACAAAGCCTTAGTAATGATGTGATATCATTACCCAGAGCCTGCCAATAGACGTGAAACTGAAATGTTTGCATAGGACCCCAAAAAAAAGAGATCCCAAATAATGTTATAATATTTGATAATTAATGTTATATATGACTCAAAAAATTTAGTCCCTGCAGAATCAAATATATATATCATAAAAAAACTCAAACATTTTTCTTCTTTTAATTAATATTTTACTCTTTTAAGCCTTTAAAAGTGAAAATTAGAATTGAGTCCTCCTTAAGAGACTTATTATAAGTTTAGTCCGTCAAATAAACTTATTTGAGGGTAAGTTTATTTTTTTTTTGAGAAACAACAATAGAAATTTATTACTGAGAAATATCAAAAAAAAAGGAGAGGCATAACAAAATCGGGTGCCTGCTCCAACTATACAATGCTACTATTTAATGGTATCACAAAACAAGCTAACTCATGAGCTACTTTATTCTCATTACGTCAAACTCCGAACACTTCAAAATAGTGAAAGCTTCTCGCTATACTGTTAATGTCTTGTAAGATGGATTCAAGAGGATCTAAATCACCATCACCACTCCTAATAGATTGCATAACCACTGTAGAATCCCCTTTCACTATAACTTCTACTAATTCTTGTTGCCTTGCGAATTGGATCGCAATTTTTGCTGCAATAGTTTATGTTTTACGAATATCACAACTCATAACTAACCTTTTGGACAAAGCTCCTACAAAATAACCCAGGTCATCTCGTATAACAACTCCTGCACCTAAGACATTTTGCTCTGAAAATACAGCAACATCGAAATTAACTTTGTAGGAACTTGCCCTTGGGGGACACCAACCATCGTTGAGGTTTTGCAAAGAATTACTAACGGCCTGGGCTGCTTTCTGGCTATACTGCCTATAATAATCAGCAGTCTTCCTCTGCACTTCAACAGGGTCTTGAATCATTTTTTCAAATATTCAAATATTTCTATTTCTCCATACAAACCAACATTGAATAAGAAACAAAGAAAATTCATTAGATGTTAGGGCCTGATGGACATCAAGCAACCACTGCTCAAGATCCAAAGCCATAAACTGGATTGATGCCTGTACCAAACTGACACTCCACACTGTTTTGGCCCAAGAACAGTCCCTTAGGTAGTGTACCAATGACTCCCCTAACATCTTGACACACTCTACAATTTCCATCCACAGTGACTCTCCTTCTCTGAAGATTATCCCTTGTTGGTAATACGTTGAGTAATACGTTGAGGCATACCCGCCAGACAAATATCTTAATTTTATTTGGAATTTTTTGATTCCAAATAAAATTCCAATTAAGGTGTCCAACACTAGGAGAAGAAGATGAGTTGCTTGAGCCAACTTGCAATAGCTTTTGGTCCATAATGATGTGATATGTATTACGTACCAAGAACCTCCCATTTGAATTATAATATCAAATCAATCTATTCTCCATTGAATTTTTGCTCAGTGGAATACCTTTAATCACCAACGCCTCGTGGGGCAAAAAAATATCAATTACTAACTGCTCATTTCAACTCCACATTTCCTCATTAATAAGATCCCCAACCCTAGCCGAAGCATGTAGGCCCCTTGTAGGAGAAACATGCTTAAAACTTACAGGGGTACGTATCCACCTATTCGACCAAATATTGACTCTGGATCCATCACCTATTCGCCAACTTGAGCCTACTTCCACAACTCTTCTTGCTCCTAGAATACTTCTCCATGTGTATGAGGGTCTATGCCCAACCTTACCCTCCATGAAAGAAGTTGAAGAGAAATACCTTGTCTTAAGCACTTGATGAAGAAGAGAGTTAACCTTTGTATTTAATCTCCATGTCTGTTTCACAAGCATTGCCAAATTGAAGGCCTTTAGATCTCTGAAACCTATACCACCCCTCTCTTTTCTTGTACACATCCTTGCCTAGCTAACCCAATGTATTTTCCTCTCCCCTTATCTTTGACCCCACCAAAATTTGGCCACTAGTTTCTCAAGTTCCTCACAAAAATTATCCGGAAGTTTAAAACATCTCATAACGTATGTAGGAATGGATTGCACCACCGCCTTAATCAAAATCTCCTTCCCTGCTCTCGATAAAAGTTGTTCAGTCCATCCTTGCATTTTATTCCATACCCTTTCCTTTAAATTGCTGAATACTTCTTTTTTAGATTTTCCCACCACAGTTGAGAGGCCCATATATGTATCATGTTGGTAAACACGTTCTACCCCCAATATTTGCTGAACTTGACTGGCCTGTACCTCCAAAGAATTGTTGCTAAAGATCATTGCAGACTTTTTCAAGTTGATTTTTTGCTCTGAAGTAGCTTTATAAATCCCTAGTATTGACTTAACAACTTCAACCTTTTCTTCTAATGCATTAAAAAATAATAAATTGTCATCAGCAAACAAAAGGTGTGAAGTACGTGGATCGCCCCTTCCCACTGAGACCCCTGTAATTGTACCATGCAACTTTGCATTGCGTAGAAGTGCTGTTAAACCCTCTGCACAGATCAGAAACAAATAAGGTGACAGGGGATCTACTTGACGAAGACTCCTTTCAGGATGGAAAAAACCCATTTGATCATTTTTCAGCAAGATAGAATACGAGACAATTGTAACACAAAGCATCACTAGTCTATGCCCAATCTAAGCCCAATATTATCATCATTTTTTTCAAGAACACTCACTCCACCCTATCACAAGCTTTGCTCATATCCAGTGTTAGAGAAGCATGTCCCATTTTACCCCAATTCTTACACTTTAGGAAGTGATTAATTTCAAAAGTAACCAACACATTGTCGGTGATTAACCGCCCAGGAAGAAATGCAATTTGAGAATAAAAAATAACTGAGGGGAGGACATACTTTAGGCGGTTAGCTAAAATTTTTGAAATAATTTTATAAATAACATTTCATAAACTAATGGGACGAAACTCATG